ATGAGGTTCATGATTATGAGGGAGTCATCACGGACCGTTGTTGTTTTCCCAGCTCTTCCAGTGCGTTCAGATTCAGTACGTTGTTGTTTGGAGGTCGAAGCAGGTTTTTGAATCGTAGGCTTTTTAATAACCGGGCGGACATTTTTGGGGGTAGACTGAGCGATCAAAGCACCAGTTGATGTCCGTACAACACTTGGGATGTCAACCTTGGACGGTGACACCTGGTCCTTATTAGCTCTGATGGCGTGGTTACAGTCACCTGCCGAGTTTTTAGGAACCACCGTTGCGTTTGAGGACCCTGAACTGGGAGATCCAATTTTAGTGAGGGAATCAATTATTGTCGACGTAATGATGGTGCTGAGTTTCAACATGTCATCATTAGTGCTAATGCGCGTTCCATCGATGGTTGACTTGTCAACATCCCTGTTCTTATTTTCGTTACGCGCCCTCGTTTGCCTACCTATTTTATGGCTATCTGTTTCCAAGTTTACTGACAATTTGTTCCGCAGACCTGTCAGTAGAACAATGATATTGCTCAGCAGCACTACAGCGTCCGTGTTGCACGTGACGCACACCCACTTACGGTCCGATTTGCTGAGTCTTTTGTAAGCCGTTGCCGTAAGATCTGTGCACGTTTCGTGAAACCAACCTTTGCAGTTGTCACACTGCATGCCAGATGTAACAGCGAAACGGCATCCAGGTCTTTTACATGAATTTTTCATGGCTGTATTTACGTAAACTGTGCTTAAGACCGTTAAAAATACACTAAAAACCACACTAAAACGGGAAAAATGTATAAAAACGGATGAGATAAAATGAAATAGCCTTTACGTGAAAAACTGAAAATAAACCGAATAGTAAGCTGAGGCAAAACCGCAGTTAACTATTAAATTGGGTGAAACTCAAAAAAAAGTAATCTACCGAACTTGTAGCTCAGAATAGATTGTTTAGATCAGAAATGGTACTTTTGTTGCGTAAGAACACAGCAAAAGTTTGAGAAATGCAAACCACGTTAGGACTAAACTTCCCGTTCGAAAAGCGGTCGTCGACATTATTATTTGCGGATGATGTCAAAATATGGAGAGCAATAAGAGGTGAGGCTGGTCATCTGGATCTTCAAGCTGACTTAGACGATTTAGTTAGATGGGCTCGAGATTGGGGTTTAGAAATCAATTCTAGGAAGAGTGTGCTAATGCACATCGGTCACGGCAATAGTTACCATTATACTATTGATGGTAAACCTCTTCCATGCGTTCAAGAACATAAAGACTTAGGAGTAATAATAAGTCATGATTTAAAAACAACTGCGCACTGCAACGCAGCCGCTGTCAAAGGTTTTCGTGCGTTTAGAGTACTGTATTCAAGCGGCTAGCCCATGTCTGATAAAGGATACTACCTCACTTGAACGTGTCCAGCGTGTGGGAACGAAATTAGTGAAGGGTCTTTCTAAACTCCCTTACGATGAGCGTTTAAAACGCTTAAACCTTTTCCCCTTGTCGTATCGTAGGACTCGAGGTGACCTTATACTGGCATTTCGTATCTTTAATTATGATTTGGGTGTTAATATGTCTTATCTTTTTGCTCCCTCCAGCACTAATAATCTCCGAGGTCATAGCAAGAAGGTTCATAAACCACGATCTGATAAACTCAAGGTGGGGTTCCGTTTTTCTCATCGAGTAGTCAATGATTGGAACGCTTTGCCCGATCAAGTGGTATCAGCCCCATCAGTGAATATTTTCAAAGAGAAAATGGACCTTCACTGGAAGGCAACCTGTTAGGATTAACACAGGTTCACTAACCTACTATCCTTATTACTGAAGACTAAACCAAGGGGAATAAAACTCCAAACTCATGTGCATGTAATGGCTTGAACCTTAGTCAGTGTTGAATTGAATTCGACAATGTTTTCAGTGTGTAGGAGGTTTGCTCGACGGCTTATACTGATAATTTGCATGCTTGATTGAGTCACTAAACCTCAAATCAGACTGGAAAGGTTTCAAGATGTTTGTCGAGTGAGCAAGTGATAGAGAAACATTCTGAAATCCCCCGTAATGAATGAAGATAACGAGAAAACGATACTGTTTAATCATAATTATGAGTCAATTTGTTCACCAAGTTTGTGTTAATAGTCTTATCAATTTTATTGATCATATTACGTGATTGTCAAGTTATGACGGCATCTAGAAACCATTATGAATAACTAGTTAGTATCGAGTAAGGCTGCGTTAGTGAGATATAGGTATTGCTGTTTTAAGTGATTCTAAGACAGCGGAAATTTGAAGCGCCAACGGCTCCGAGCTGCCTGATTATATTATAATTTGCGATTCAGAAATATTCGTTCACTTGGTGTTAATTTCAATAGTAGCCTCAAGAGATTTTATTTTGAACACTTGCTTTACTAACAATTACGTGATAGTTTAGTCATTATACTAGTGTAGTACGTTAACTTAATGAGGTAACTTTATTACCTTAATTATGGTAAACATATTTTAAGACTCGAACACGTCAAGCAATAACGACTATGATGAGTTTATTGGAAAACGTTAAAGGCGGTTCAAAAGATTACTAAATTCAAGTGACATAGAGAAGATATAATACAATGCATGTACAGGCTAGCTTAAAACGCATGTTGGTGAAGCATATGACCATCTAAAAATAATAAACTTGGTCAGACCTCTTCGTGTGAAATTTTGAGTGTTAATCGTCTCAGTGTTTATACGTTTGTGTGGTTGGAATCTACAGCACTACAAACCTACGTCAAGTTTCACATGTGTTTTGCCGTGTGTTGCAATTTTTTCCGTTTACCAACTGTATTTTGAGCACCTGATGTTGTAGAAAGTCATTAGTATTCGTTGGAAGAACGCTTACGTACAAACTATCGTCGGCAAATTAGTGTTGTACGATAGACGTCTGTTTCCTGCGTGCCTGTCGGGAAATTCCTCAAGTGGTTAATTGTGATGACATTTCTGGAGTTTGGGAAATTCGTAGTATCTTGCGGTTTTTAGAAGACATGCCATAGGTTTTGTGGCACTGAAGCCAATAAGGTCTATTTTCCACCACGGCCTAGAAGCCGATACTTTTGTGGCGAGCTAATTTGGGGAGTTTCAAATTGTCTGCGAGTATGCTGGAGGTTAAGAGAACGAGTGATCTTATGTCGGATATCTACTGTATTATTTTGTCGCGCTTTGTCAGAATCAGATTGAGTCCCCTTTTCTCTTATGATCATCAAAATCCGGTAGACAGATGCTTCCAGTTCATCTATGGCGTTTATTTTGAAATGAGATGTGAATCGCTTTCACTTTTGTGGACGTTTAAATAAAAAGAGCTGTTTAAAGAGAAAGTCTTTTGACCAATGACCAGCCGACACGTAGCAGCATTTCTGCTACTGAGTGGTATTTTAATTCTTTATTGTTGAAGAGCTGGTCTAAACTATGTCGACCGTCTAGATTTCTGCATTTAGACATAGTCCATTTAAAGGTATCGTAAGCTTCGGAAACGTCACTCGCAGATATATTAAGTGTGTCGTACTGTTAAGATCGCGCGACAATGCTTTCCTTACTACGATGAATTGCGCACACGGGTCTATTCTACGGTACCCGTGGAAGTCAGCTTCTCCGTAACAGAACCATTCTTCGATATCATTTGTCCGAAAGCGATGAGTTGGAAAGTGTGGGACATAAAGTATTAATATTTACGGTTTGGGCATTTGTTCTGTACTGATCATGATAAAACATATAAATGGGCATGAAATCTATGAACGCCAAAGATACCGCTATATGTGAAAGCAAAAAATGATGTTTAATGTTTCAACAAGGGGCAGACTTATTGAGTGTCGTTTGGTGTATCAAATCGCGTCAAGCTCACCACTAAGGACCTAAGCGATATTCAGGATTCGAGAACGCTTTTGTTTGTAACACTTTCACAGTGGGAGGATACCAACTCAGTCAAATCGGAAGTCAGAAACGAAGGGGTTCGAAGATATATATTGAGAAGCGATTAATTTAAGCTGGATAGTAGTTGTAAAGAATATATCGCACGGCGTATTCACTGGTGATCTGGCGCGAACTCATGACCTAAAGTCTTCAGCTAGGTATGTTCAGTAAAAATAACAAGGTCGAATACTTGGAAAACTACATATTTTGAGAATTTATTTACCACTACACATGGGTTATACTCCCACTAAAAATCTATCAAATGTTATGAGAACAAGTTTGATTAGCAATTCTTACAAATAATAAATATCTGAATGCTAAGAAGACCCATAACAAATCCATAGAGTTAAGTACATGAAGTCTGAACTTAGAAAACTGTACGTATATGAAAGGATTTGGATTGTAGCATACCGCTATCCAAGCCCCTCCCATCGTAATGTTCCCAGTACAGTTACAAAAGTCGAGGGCAATTGAGCGACTAGATGTTTGGATTACAGATAAGAGCACTATAGCGTGTAATTTCGGAGAAATTTGTTCAATGGTAAGCCGAAATGTAATCTGGTCTGGGTGCTTGACGGAGCGTTTCTAGTGAGGCGATTATAGTATCGATGTTGAATGCGTAAAAGCTACTTATTTTGCGGATCTATTTTCCAATACATTCTCCAGAAAATTAAGATGAATTGATCAGAATATCTAAATGGGAATCACTGACGAAAATACTTACTGAAAATACATTACCTGGTAAGTTGACAGAGATGTGGGAAAAAAACGAGAGTACAAAGGAATATGTCCATTACGTTTAGACTTTTTATATCATATTGAGAATACTGAGTGTGGTGACTATAAGTTATTGCATATAACAACTGGATTACATGTTAAAGAGCTATCGTTTAATAACTGTTCAACTTTAGTGTTCCACTCAGTCATTAATTTAAACGGTTGTTGTATCTATCCGGGGAACTAAGCATTGCTAATAAAATGAAACCAATTGGTATTTATAAGGCAACTCATTTAATACTTCGAATTAATTCCGTAGTTAAATTCGATAAAGTTTTGAGGTTTGTGACAGCGCAATTTTCAATGTCTGCGGTTTGGCGTGTTGCTGCGACCCATCCGAAAAAGCTTGTTGCTGGGACACTATGTTTAGTTTATTGCTATAAGTTTACGGGGGAAAAATATAGGTACTTTTTTATTTTACACTTGCTCATGCAAATAGAGACTACGTTTTGCACCGAGAAATATGCTCCTATGTTTCTGTAGGTCACTCACCTTTGCCTATGATTATGTAGTCAGAAAATTACAAGACCGTTAATAGCACACAAACTCTACGCAGCCTGACTGTGTTTGTAAATCCGTTCTCGCGTCGTGGGTATGTGCTAATATTCTATTTCCCAGAGGACTCTTAAAAGAGTTTGAAAACAATGCTGCTCCTATTTTAAACCTGTCTGGTCTTGACGTTAAAATGGTTTATCTGGACACGGATTCCGAAATAAAGGATTTCATAAAAGTGCTAGATCCGAACAGTACTGACGGTGTTTTAGTTGTTGGAGACGACAATTTGATCCAGAAAGTATTTTCCTTGTCATAACGCACATTGTTTAGGCAGTTACAAGTTTGTTATCCCGAGACGATTTTAAGGTAAGTTGGATTTGATATCTAACAAATCGTCATAGACTACTCCTTTGTGGTCATTGCCAGTTGGAGCGGTGCCCGTAGGTATTTGGAATGGGCTTATAAACACTATATGTGAGAAAACAGTTGTCCCTAAGTAAGCTAATATAATTTATCTTTGTACACTTTTCATCCCTCTTCATATTCCTGTGTTTTTGATTTGTCTTTTGAATTTTAGCATGATATTAATTACTTTGATCTAAACAGGTGTGGATAAGTAATACTAAACAGATCAATCTAATTCATCAAAGTCGTTAAGCATATTAAAAAAATGTTTGTTAAGTTTATTGCTAACAAGCATTATTAAAGGTTATTTCAGGATCTGGTGCTTGACAAACTTCATACTGTACTTCAACTTTTGGATTACTGTTTGACGTATAAGTACTACCTTTATCACTACAGGGTTTGGATCGACAGCTGCATCTCGGTGCTAATGTGGTATGGCAACTCGAACTGATGTAGGTACGTACGAAGCTCCACGTTGTTACTTACTGACTGACATTTTTAGAACATGAATGTTCATTTATGAATCCGTTTGTTCATGACTTAACCTTTCATTTTAAAAAATATCAAAGTCTAACGTGTCTAGTTTGTTAATGTTTATTATCATTGTTCTTATATGCTCACACATTGTAGATGGTTTTACAATGTCTTACAATCTGTCCTACAACAGAATACTAAAAGGAGAAATGTTTTGGAAGTAAAAGTTGTTTCAGACGTGAGTTTATAGTTTTAATAAATATCGCTTTTTCCTCTGACTGATTGTTCTCTGTGATATACTTTTAATCTACACAGTTTTACTTATTGAATTCACGTAAAACATAGAACAACTTGGCGTTATGAATAAAATATGCTTTTAAAAATGGAGTTTTGGTATGTCTACTGATTGGAATTGCTCATATTGTTAGTTAAACTCCCATGAATTACTGGGTGTTTTGTGAGTATACTTTTCATTTTACGTTTAGAAATCGGTTGGTTCATAAGTTGAAGGATAAATATAGTTATGTATGTGAATATGTTACCTGCTCGCTACGGAAGTCGGGGATTTGATTGACACAACCATAATCACACCATTTGGACTGTTTGAGTTTCTAAGAATGCCGCTCGGACTGAAAAATGCCGCCCAGACATTCCAACGATTCATAGATGATGTTACAAGAGGCTTAGATTTCGTATTCGCCTACATAGACGACGTTTTGATCGCAAGCTCATCAATAGAAAAGCACGTCCAGCATATCCAGATACTTTTCGAACGTTTTAAAAAGCATGGCGTTGCTATCAATCCATCTAAATGTAAATTCGGCGTCCCAGCCTTAGAGTTTTTAGGACATTACATCGACTCTCAAGGCATCAAACCACTTCAAAACAAAGTTGAAGCTATTACCAATTACCCTGAACCAACCTCAGTAAAGTCATTACGCCGTTTTCTCGGAACGTGCAATTTCTATCGCCGATTCTTACCACGTTGCGCAGACGTGTTACAGCCGCTAACGGATTTGCTGAAAAGCGACAACAAAGGTAAGAAGAAGGAAATGAATCAAACATTCAAGCTACCTCCTGACGCCAAAATAGCATTTGAAAAAACAAAGTCCATGATAACCAACGCCACCATGCTACAACACCTAAATACTGACCTCACAACCCACCTGATTCTGTGTACGGATGCGTCACAAAAAGCCGTCGGGGCAGTATTGCAACAAGACGACTACTCCCGTAGCGTTTTTCCCCAAGAGACTGTCACCAGCTCAGGAGCGTTACAGTACTTTCGGACGGGAGTTACTAACTATCTATTTAGCCGTTAAACACTTCAACTTCTTACTACAAGGGCGAATATTCACTATAATAACTGACTACAAACCCTTTTGTTACTCATTCAATACTTCTTACTACCGATATTCACCTCGCGAAGCACGACAATTGGATTACATCTCTCAATTTACAACAGATATCCAATATGTCAAAGGACACACTAACGTTGTAGCTGACGCATCATCACGAAAGGATATAAATATGCTGATACGTAAGCAAGATGTTGGTTTGGAAACAATCGCCAAATTGCAAGTAGACGACGAAGAAATACAGAGCTGCAAAGAAAAGTTCAACTTGCTTCTTAAGCCTGTAACCATTCCTTTCTCAAATGCATCTATCATCTGTGACGTTTCAACGGGCAGTAACCGCCCCTTCGTACCTCAAGCTTGCCGACGCCAAGTATTTCGTCAACTGCATGACCTTTCACATCCAGGAATCCGAGTCACAACTAAATTGATTACTAAACGTTTCGTGTGGCCAAAGATTAACTCAGATATAAAACGGTGGACTCGAAGCTGCCTACAATGTCAACGCAGCAAAATTCAGAAACACACAATCAGTCCTGTAGGGAAGTTCCCTTTGCCAGAGAAACGTTCCCAACACATCCATCTAGATATAGTCGGTCACTTGCCACCATCGAAATGATTCACGCATATCCTCACAGCGGTGGACAGATTCACAAGATGGGCAATAGCATGTCCCATTAACGATACATCTACCGAAACAGTAGCAGCCACATTCCTTGATCGATGGATATCAAATTACGGAGTACCATCAATCGTCACTACAGATCGTGGTCCCCAGTTCCAGTCTATCTTATTTCAGGAATTCACAAGACTTCTGGGTGTGAACCATATTAAAACGACAGCTTATCATCCAGTGGCTAATGGTCTGGTCGAAAGATTTCACCGTTAATTGAAAAGCGCACTGATGGCACAAACTGATACAGCAAAATGGAGTGATGCACTACCACTTGTACTCCTGGGAATTCGTTCAACCATCAAGGAAGATTTAGGATGCACTTCAGCTAAACTAGTCTATGGTACTACATTAACATTACCGGGTCAGTTGGTCGATCAAGAATCAACAATGTCAAATGATCCAAATGGTTTCGCAAGTCGTCTATTACAGACGATGCAAAGCATTAAAGCGATACCTCCGCGCGAACATAACCACATACAACTTGATAAACATCTGGAGACCTGCAAATTCGTTTTTGTTCGAGTCGACGCAGTGAGAAAGCCATTGAAACAACCGTACGAAGGACCTTACCAAGTAATTAAACGAACGAACAGACACTTCATCATCAACAAAAGTGGAAAAAAGGAAACTATCTCCATAGATAAAATAAAACCAGTCTTCTATGAAGCTCAACAAGACAAAGAAAATAACACTACATTCAATCAACTTCTCCCACTAACCACTACGACAGCAGAGGAGGATGAAAAACCGAGTATCGAGCCTACTTGTTTAACTCGTTCAGGCAGGACTGTAAAAAACCCAAACGTTATGTACATTTTGCCGAATAAAAAATAATAATAATCAATCTTTTTTTTCAGAATTACTCGTTTTGTCACAGTTTTTTTCAAAAAAAGATTTTTTTGGCACAATAATAAACTAATAAACTCTATTTAATTATTTATTCATTGTACACAGAAATAAACACTTCACTTTTTGTTTTGTGCGTTTATTAACAGTTTTGCACATTATTAGCATTGTTAGCAAACTAAGACACTAAATGACTATATTTTCACCCTTTTTGTTGTTGTTATACTATGCTACATCAATGTTATTTTTACACAATAACACACTGTATATTACTAACGTGCATCTCATATCCATCTCCACGACATTTTTTTGTTGGTTATTACTGTAAACATTATTTTTGCATACATGTATATATCATATTCTTACATATTTTTGTTAATTTAACCAGTGTTACCTCCGGACACTCTGAGGGGAGCCATGTGGAGATATATCTGACAAGCTTATTTTGTAAATAGTTTTTAATTTTATTTGTATAAATAAATATAGTTATGTATGTGAATATGTTGCTTGCTCTCCCAATTTTATTATAACTTTAGTTATTTGAGAGAAAATCCGTTAGGACGTTTGTTTTAAAGGTTGATGCAACATATTGGGTATCTAATGATTAATTTATTCACTGTATAAATTTTTCGGCGTATTTTCGTGATGTGTGCTGATTGAAAATCTCTCAGTTGCTAAATTTATTATTTAAATCAATGTATCACTGATCTTAAATGTATTTTGAATTCTACTAGGTATCAATCAGCAAAGGTTCTCTACAACAAATAAATTTCTTACTCTAGTTAGTCAAGCATAGGAGAAGATAGAAATAGTTTCCTTCATCGGTTAAGGGAGGAAGTAAAATGTGGATAAATTAATGTAGAAAATCTGAAATTTCAGAAGCATATTTTAAGTGGTGTTTCATCATCTTCATAAGCAATGGGCTCACTTAATTATTTGTAAATCAACTCATTAGTACTAGTAATTATTAGTATTTGTTCTTAAACCTCAGGAGAATATAAATAAAAATCTTGTCAACTTATTGTGTAAACACACTTGGTAGTATATATCTTCAGTCTGAATTCTGTATTCATCCTGGCTACACAAAGTGATCTATGCCATTTAGAAAGCTTTTTAAAATAAGCAGTCTAATCCACGAAATATCATTCTACATATTTCTTACCTATTATGTAATTTTTACTTGGAAATCATTTTATTTAGGTGACTTATAATGTCTTGAAACCGTTTGTTTATTATTTTTCATATAGGATAGTCAACCAATTGAACAATCAAAAGCATCATCTGCAAATACTTATTCTTTATTAGGTATTGAATGGAATATTTGGAGAGATATAGAACTTGGGGGAGGTTGTGGTGTTAGTGATAGGCATAAAAAACCAACAAATCCTAACGATCATCGTGGTGTACTCACAACACTTTCAGTTTCATCTCCTAGATCTTGGAGTCGTAATTTTGGTGCATTGTGGAGATCCACTTGGTATTGGTTTCGATCATCTGAAAACAATGCTCAAATATATCCTCATAGTGATTCTAAAACTTCATCAAATTTTTTCGCAGATTCCTCAGTCACTATATCTGAAAAAAAGCTGAAAAAAAGTCGTGTGAAATTCGCTCGCCTTACTTATACTCCAATTTGTACAGGATGTTCGAAATGTTGGGAGAAAAAGTTAATGGTAAGCACCTTATCATGTTTAGACTCCTACTTACTAATACTGATGGATTGTAGTGGTTACATAAGAGGAACTGGAATTCAACCAGAACCAAGGACTAGACAAGTACAAGATTAATTACTACTTAATGATGAACCGATGAGTATATCCTAGTTTTATCTGAAGTCAGTCGCCGTATAAACGGCTCATCACTATATCTTAAACTGTGACCTAGTAACTTGTGTTCAGATCGTGTGTGGAGCACCGGCTCCCTCAAGATTGAAATTGGCACGAAATCTAGGTTCAGGGTTTCCTGTCGGCTACCTACAACAACCTAAAATGGTATAGTTAGCTTTTCGATGACGAAATTTAATAGTCCGGTTTTTCCCCTCACTTAAATGTTTTTTTTTGTCATCAGTCTTTAGTATTTCATATTATTAAACTAGTGGCAATTAACTTCCTCTTGTATTTTTATAAGTTAGTTTGACTATGTTAATCATTAGTAATACGTATGTCGTCACCTCATTTTAGTATATACATTTCTGTTAACATATTGACTGGTGATTCATGAAAATGTTTTATCAAATAAAAACCAAAAATTAACTGTTTTTATTAATTTAACAATTATTGCAACAAAATATTCTCTAAATACTAGAAAATAAGTCAGTTAAGTGAATTTCAATGATAATGCTTCGTTTTCTTGTATTCAGGAACACAGTGATGAATAATATTATTCGTACTATAGTTAGCTTATAATTCTTCTCTATTAGCTCTAATTTTACTCAATTCAGTATAATCTTAAATTGTTTTCTAATGTTTGTCAAAATGGTTTTTATTCAACAAATTTCTTTGAAATAACTAACTTTATTTTTCATTGACAGACTTATAAAGAATCTGGTCTCGAAGTAAATGAAAAGAAATCATCTCTATTAGGAAGAATATTTGGATTCTCACTAAACACTAATAATAACAAATCAAATATTGATGAAATGAAAAGTAAAGAAATTCAACAAATCAAAGCTAAGAGTTCCATAGACAATCCTGCATGTGAAGAACTAAAGGAATTAATCGTTGAAAAGGCTTCAGGGTTCACAATAACTCCAGAAGGAGTAAGTCTGTGTATGGCAGTAAACTTATGAGTTATATTGTTATAAAAACAGGTTTGTACCAGTTTCATCATTATTCATTGACTTGCATAGCTGTAAAGGATAATTGTTCCTTATTGATTTTTTTCAATCCTATTTGTAAAATGGATGTCAGATCAATCTGTATCTGTGCCGGAACACTAGTCATTGGTTAATGAAGTAGCGTATCTTCATCAATTGAGGTGATTACATGTATGCCCAACGACCGCCTGTCTCACGGGCAATGTTGTCTGATGTAGTAGGCTGAAAGTAAGCTAGGGGAGACCAAACCAGAACGTGTTATTAGTCCATGAAGTCATTAACCGTTGCATTGAGCCGTGTAGGTAGGTGCATATTATCTGGTTTAAGTCGGGGTGACTGTCGAAACCAATGGTTACAAACTGAGTGACATGGCTCCGACTCGTGTTCAGTGCCACAGGTTCATACATTTTTTTCTCTAAATCCTGTGCCTTTTTGTTTCCTTTCTACACCTAATCTTTTCGGTTACTAATGATATTGTTAATACTTCTACAGTGCTGATATTTGTCTTAATAATTCTATCTCTGTGATTATGTTATGTGGCAACTTGAACTGACACACATGTATCAGGTTCTACGTTATATATGACTAGCTGACTGGAGCATTAGCCTCAGTTATACACAAGAGATTGCCTCACCAGTCAAACTAAACGTTATGGGAGTGGTAGATTGCAGTATGTAGTCAGTCATTATAAACAAGTTAACGTGGTCAGGACTTGTTTCTTTAGTATATTTCAACAAGGAAGACATCATGGAGTATTAGTGAGGATTTAATGTAGTGTGTTTAGTTATGCATAAACTTATATACTATGTTAAACTTGTCACCTTTGGTAATCAGTCCAATTTCGTGATAATCTAAGCTGATAACCGAATTTAGTCACTCAAATTAATGGTGTATTTTAAATGAAGTCAATCAGCTGTATGGTGACATTTGTTGATGTATGATTGAAAGCATCTGGCAGGTTATTGTAAATCAAAATATCGTTCTTACCGACAATTGTCACCTAGGTTTATTTTCGATCCTTAGCAAACTAATGTTTCATGTCTTGTTAATACCGATAATTCCTTACAAGCATGAAATCCTGCTGACGATTTACTGTTGATCACCTCCAACCATTCTACACAATTCTTTCTTATCTGCCTAAGTATTCAGTGTCTGTCTTCTAGCAGTAGTTCAAATTCACTGGGAATTTCTTACGGAGAAGGTAATAAAAACAGAAGTCAGGATCTTGTTACTTGTATTATCTATCGATTTCCATTCGTTAGTCTGTATACAATTATTTCTTACGTTCAAGAGTTAGGTTAACTCACTCACCAGGCACAGGTTAGTGTACTTGCCTCCAAGCCATGAGCTGGGTGTGAGAGCTAACTATGCTAACCAGTTGCCTAAATTCATGCAGTTGAAGCAGGGTTATAAATCACTCTCTTAGTCTAATATTAAATAGAACTGGTCGTCCAGACCTCATTAGATGGAGCAGGGTTCGAAACCTCAGTCATTCGTTGAAATTGTTTTGACCTGAATAAATAAATCACATCTCTACCGACGCCTGTATTTTTTGTTTGAATGAATACTACACTATAAACAATCCTTATATTGATTAAACTGTTTAGCAATTCATACTAGGAGGAGTGATGGAATATAATAAGTGGACGTTTTTTAATGAATTATTGTATGAATAATCGTTAGTGAAAATCTGTATTCAGTCAGTCAGCAACAACGTGGAACTTCGTACGTACGTACGTACATCAGTTCGAGTTGCCATACCACATTAGCACAGAGATACAATTGTCGATTCAAATCCCATAGTGGTAGAGGTAGTAAAAGTGTAAGCAGTAATCGGAAAGATTATGGTTTGAAGACGTTATTCAAGGAGTATAATCCAGTGAAGTAAATTTGGAAAGAGAAAAAAGAGACATGAAGAATTCATAAGATTAGAATTTGGGAGAACACAAAGAGTGGATGCACCTGTGCCATTGCAAACGATTTTGAGCCATGTCGTTCAAGGTCTCTAACCGTCAGTTGCTATCGTCTCGCGGATCCCAACCAGGTAGTCTACAACTATCAACATGACTCAGTCCACTTGTCAGTGACTTCATGAATTTGTGCGATGTGTTGGCCTGGCCGCTCCTAGTTTTCTTGCAACCTGCTCCTACACCATAAAACATTGCACGTCGGGGCAGTCCGAGGTTGGGCATATGTAACACATGTCCCAGCTATCTCAACCGACCAAGTTTCACTACTTCGTCAATTGATTTGCCATCCTTGCCTAGTACCCGTTTCCTCACAACTGTATTACTTACTCGGTGGTCCCAGGATATACGAGCAATGCTTCGAAGATACCTATGATCGAATACTAGTAACCTACAAATATCCCCTACTCTTACCGGTCATGTTTCACAGCCATAAAGCAGTACGGAACGAACTGATGCGCAGTAAACCCGTCCTTTGGTTGGTTGACGGATATCTCGCTTACGCCATAAATGACGCGAGTTGGCAAAAGCTAGTCGAACCTTTTGTATCCGTGCTGAGATTTCGTCACACACCAAACCACAATGGCTGATGACACGACCAAATAAGTGAAGCAGTCGACACGCTCAACTACTTCACTCCCTATCACTAGTTCGGGTGGCGGTGCAACCCAATCCTGAAGCAACATTTTGCATTTCGAGGGAGAGAATCGCATGCCAAACATGCTTGGATTGTTGCTTAGAGTGGTCGGAAGACTGCATTTTGTCAGCGTCTTCACCAGATAGAACTATGTCATCGGCATATTCTAAGTCAACAAGTGGGTCTCCTGGTAAAAGTTCAACTCCTGGAAATTTAGATGAGGAAAGTGTCATCTCTAAAAGGACGTCAACGACAAAGTTAAACAAGAATGGAGAGAGTGGATAGCCCTGACGAACACCACTTGAGGTAATCAATTCTGATGACAGTTCGCCATAAGCTCTCACTCGACCAGTTGTGTTCAAGTAGAGAGCCTTTATAAGGATAATGTATTTCTTTGATACTCCCTTTTGTGACAAACACAGCCACAAAACCTCACGATCAACAGAGTCAAATGCCTTCTTAAGCTCGAGAAATACTGCTATTGTGGGGTGTCTGAATGTGTGTCTATGTTCTAGAACCTGACGTAGTGTGAATATCTGATCTATACAACTACGTCCAGATCGAAAACCAGCCTGGTTTTCTCTAGTCTGCTCCTCACGAGCTTTGGCTAGGCATCGAAGTAATATTGAAGCTAATATTTTAGACACTATATTAGTCAAACTAATTCCTCTGTGATTGTCACAAGACGACTTTTGTTCTTTCTTATAGACTGGCACAATCAGTGATTGAGACCAGTCAGATTGGATTACGTCCAGTCCCCAGATTCTGCCTAAGACCTTAGTCAATCTCGCTGCTAATACTGGGCCACCATCCTTAAAAATATCTGGGTTAAAACTGTCAGAGCGTGCTGCTTTTCTTCGCTTCAATTTTCCGTAGTTTTTTTTAACTTCTCAGATATCACCACTGTTTTCACAGCTTTCCGTATATCATTCCAAGTTGCCTCGAGGTGGGTATCACTTACACGACTGCCTAACTTTTTTTCTAGTTGTTCCTGAAATATATTCTTAGCTTGGCATTCATTAAGTAGGATCCTAACAGGTTCTGATTCTAAACATATGCTCCAAAACGAATGGCAGTTTTCTATCGAGCTCTTCCATTGGTGGTTGATCATAGCTGCAACGGACGGTCACCATTATCTGTTCTTTGAGCCACGACACCATAAGATCCACCCATGTGTCTTTTCCTTTCTCTTAGTTTACCTACTTGAGCATCAAAGTCACCAGCCATTATTACCACATCAGAGCGCCTGACTTTTTGGAGGAGGTCGGAAAGCTTTCTGTAAAACTCATCTTGTACATCATCTGAGCTGCAGTCAGTGGGAGAGTAGGCAGAGACGACGAAGAGGCAACGACAATTGTTCCTATCTTTCCGGATTTAGTAGAGCGTGGTTTCAGGAAACCTAGAATAACATTCCACGCACTCGAATCGTTCGTATTAGCGGCGCGAGGTGATAAAGGAACGTGCTAAGGGTTAGTCGTAGAGATAAGAAAGTTATTAGGTGGCGAAAATCTGTATTACTATATGTGTTTTAAGTGATTTACTTAATTAGATTACCAATGGTCTGTTTCTCATTTAAATACACATTTGGTAGTTTTGTGTAATCCATTTAAATCTGTACCAATAAAAATATACATGTCTTTAGGATCATATTCGTGTGGATATTTTGCGTCGTTCCACCAGCTATTGGGATCATATACAACAGTTTCGTTCATGGCTCCTTTCTCAACCGTATTCATTTAGATCTGGTAGTCAGGTAATATTGTGTGATAAATTGCGTTTGTTTCCTGGTCAAACTGAGGTGAGCTTTTTTCGTTTCTCTATTACCAAACTTACCTTTATATTGTTTCACGAATGTTTCTTTGCAATATTTGTTTGTTCATTCGTCTGAACAGTAGGAACCTTGTGCCAAGATCTCAGCGTTTTTGTTGATTAAGAGACAAGTGGAAATTATATACTCGTGAATATTTCTTAGTGATGTGATTCTAGTGATAGAGCTGGGAAAATTATAAAGAATCAAGGCATCAAACTAGTCCGAGTTGTTGGTTATCGAAATTTACAAACTGACAAGGAAAAATTAATTTAGCTTCTGAAATTTTAAAAACGAGGTTTTTTAATTGTTCGACTCAAATTAAACACTATCGAATAATAATTTGGTAATTGTTAAAAAATTGTATTTTATTGTTCCGTTTGTTTAGATATCTAAATTTTTCAAAATTAACTGTTGGTAGCTAACATGTGATTCGATGAAAGTCCGGTATTTACATGTTTTGCGTTATTGTCTCTTATAACTAACGTGCTCTCGGATACTGTAACTTGTTCTATGTACGGATTTGTGCAGTCATTATCAGTGGCTTTTTGTACTTAATCCTGTGTTTACTTATGTAGTATATTGGGGTTTTTTCTGTTAATTCGTATGCTCATTTTAAATTCTTTCTCTGCTACTCAAACTTTATATGTACATATATGTTCATTGTTATAGAACGAGTTTTATTGGATTGACAACGACTACTTCGAGGCCCATCCGATTGAAGTGAATTTGCGCCGCAACGCTGTCAATCTTTTCATGTAATTTAATAATTTCACTTAAATAAACTAGATAAGTTTTCTTATTTTATTGTATAAATGAAGCTTCTCTTTGCTCTCTGGTTGGGAACTCAATTTCTACATCAAAAGCGGTCCCAATATGTAGACAATTGAGCAAGTGGCGAGTTGTGTTATACTTTGAAAGCTCACCACACTAATTCATTACTTATCTCATAAGGACACCTGGCTTCATTGTTAAAATTTGGCGGGACTCCATGTTGTAGTGCCGATTCATTCATTTTGATTGATCATGTTGAAGTCAAGCTCTGTTCCTTTTTGTCTGTCTCACAGATGGTTGTATACTACACGAATATTGCTTGACAGATTTATCGTGTTTTCGTTATGGAACGTTCCTAGTGCGCTAGCACCATCGTTACTATTTTTTATACGAGCATTGTGGCCTACGGTTGCTGTGACAAATAGGTTTCCGTGTAGCTCGTCTGCGTTACTATCAGCAAGTGGCATAAGAGTTAGAACACTTGCCGTTTACAGCTTACTCATTACTGCCGTTCTCTGATTACCCATCTTAGTGCTGATCATTTTTGATTCTGAATATTCCATATAATCAACTGACAGTACTACAAACAGGTCAGTACTAGGTTCGAATAAAGTTAATTAAGGGCCTATCTGTAGTATAACTAAGCGAAGACTAAGAAGCCATTTGTGGCACATAAATCCCGAGGATAAGTAACTTTTTAGGTCAATGGTGGTGACGTTGGATACACTTAACAAAAGACTCTTGATCACATACAAGACCGACCAGTTGGTCGGTCGATGCGAATGGATCGATCGAAGACAAATGGAATAATTTTAAGGCTACATTCGGGTCCGTAACAACACTTATCACATGGTCAGCATGTAGGCTATTACATTGCCTTCCATAGATTAATAAAGAAATCCGGAAGCTGTTGATGCGTAGAAAACACTCCTGGGACTTATCCTTGTCAACGGGACACATTATTTATGTGCGAATATCAAAAAATCCGGAATACGTGTAAATTCCGTACTCCTTACGAAAGACTTGGCATACAGCCATGCTTTTCCGAAACGACTGTTTTCGTATGTTAAATGGCGAACAAAGCGTAGTGATGGTATTCTCCTGTTACTGTTGCATGGGAATTCAGACCTACTAGCCGAGTCAGGTCGGGCAAAGTCTGAGACTTTCAAAATATTTTATCGGAGACGTGTATTGTTACAAATACTTGTTTTTATTACACCGCTGAGATACCAGCTATAAGATCAACAAATGTAACTGAGGAAACTGTTCTTTCGCTGGTAACTAAGCTCAAACCTTCTAAGATACCGGGCCTTGGTACGTTACATCCACGACTGCTGTAATCTCTCGCAGACATTATTTCAGGAGCGCTCGTGACGCTCTTCAACATGTCATTTTCACTGGCTGAACTCCCTAGAGACTGGAAAGACGCTATGATCAGTCCTGTATTTATAGATGGTCTGAGACAAATCGTATCTAACTACCGGCCTGTCAGTCTAACTAGCATAGTTAATAAGTTACTTGAAAAGATAATCCGGGTTGAGGCACTAAGTCATATAGATTCACACAAACTGCTAACTCTGAAGCAACATGGGTTTCGCAACCAGCGTTCATGCTTGACTAACTGACTTATTGCAAAAGAAGACAACGGTCTGTCTGTCGATGTGATATTCATAGATTTTAGCAAAGCGTTTGACAAGGATTCAAACTTAGGTCTTATGCAGAAGCTCGCGGGCTTCGGAATGATAGATGTTGTACAAGAATGGATAAGGAACTTCTTGTGTGACTGCAGACAGAGAGTGAAGGTCAATGGAACGCTATCCGAATGGAAGCTGGTGTGCCACAAGGTACAATCTTGGGCTCTCTACTTTTCCTTATATACGTTAATGAATTACATCTATTGCTTAAGTTGTCGATATTATTGTTTGCGGATGATGTAAAAGTCTGGAGAACAATAAGAAGCGAGGCTGATAATTTTGATCTCCAAGCTGACTTAAACAAATTGGTTAGATGAGCTCGAGGTTGGGACTTTAACGTTATTTCTAGGAAGAGTGTGTTCATGCACATCGGACACGGTAATAATTATAATTACACTTTTGATGGTACATCACTTCCACGCGTTCAAGAACACAAAAAAATAAAGAATAACATAAGGCCACGACTTGAAAACAACTACGCATTGCAACGCAGCTGATGCCAAAGGTTTTCGGGCCTTAGGGTCACTTCCCCAAGCATTCAAATGCTTTGACGAGGAAATGCTTCGAATTTTATATCCCACATATCTAAGACTATATTGAAGTATTGTAATCAAACGGCTAGCTCATGTCTGATAAAGGAAACCAACCTAATTGAGCTTACTCAGCGTGTGAGAACAAAGTTAGTGGAGCGTCTTTCTAAACTCCTTACAATGAGTGCTTAAAACAGTAAAACCTTTTCACCCTGTCGTATCGTTTGACGCGAGGTGACTGTATACTGGCATTTCGTAGCTTTGATTATGATTTGCGTGTTAATACGTCTTATCTTTTTGCTCCCTTAAGCAATGATAATCAACGAGTTTATAGCAAGAAGGTCCACAAAATGCGATCTAATAAACTTAATATGGGGTCCCGTTGTTATCATCGAGTGGTCAGTGGTATCAGCCCCATTAGTGAAAATTTTTAAGGAGAATCTTGAACTTCACGAGAAGCCAATCTGTCAGGATTAACACAGGTTCAACAACCTACTGTCCTTATTAGTGAAAACTGAAATTGAAACAAATTACTGCGAGAGAGCATTTTTCAAACTGTACGTTGCGTTTGCAAGTTATGCCTATAATTGTCACCAAGCTTTCATAATATTTATTCTCAATCAACTTCCTCATCTTTGACATGTGATACTTCAAAAATATTTCATATTTAGTCAACTGTCAGTGCTTTGTAGCAAGATTACTTTCGATTCACTTGTGTGATTTAAATCTCTAGACAGCATGTACACTTGTAGTATTTTTTCCCCACTTATGGTGTCATTTGCGTCTCTAAAGGTCATCACTTGACTTGTGGTTGTGATTTATCTGTTGTGTGAAGAGTTGATTTTTTCGGATGATTCATTTCGTCGTGCGATTATTGGTGAATAATGATCGGATGGAGAATAATATTCGCAATGTTGCTGCGAAGAATGTTCTTTTTAAGGAATCCGAAATTCCCCTCTTTAAGATGTATGTGGCTCTATCGCTCTTGAAGTCGTTGTTCATGTATAAAGTTTTCTTTTCTACTGTATTTATTTGTTTTTGGCGTTTTCGGCCTGATGTTCTTATCAATGAATATCGAAGGATACCCGTTTTTGATGAGTATCTCCTTTAAGAGGCCCAAATTTTCATCTACGACTTCGGGGCTATAGATTCTTTGTATTCCTATAGTGAGTGCTATTACTAAGTTTCTTTATCGGCTGATTCGGACCCAGCTGTGGAAACATGATAGTTGGCCATTCCACATGGGTTTCCATTAGATAGATCTTTTTAAAGTACCGTCTTGCTTTCTTGTCGTTTCCACATCAAGAAAGTGAATCTTTTGTTTGTTTTCAACTTCAAGTGTGAATTTTATTGAAGGGTGACAATTTAGCTGCTCTTGTGGAGCTAGGTATATAAGTCGTTCGATGCGTTTTTTATCCAAAAGAATTCAATAACATTGTCTGGCGTGGCTAAAAAGAGGAGGCAACGGCTCAATAAGAAGTTCTATAATCGAACACCTTGTGAACATAGATCACTCAACCAAGACAGACTCAAAGTCATCTACAAGGTAAGTAGAAGTCTTCCGAAGACAATTAGACTACATCTTCTTTGCATTGCCGAAGCAATAGCCACACATCTGGAAAACCATAATTGTGTGTGCAAAAGAGACGAGTACAACCTCTTCTTCTACCATGGTCTTAATGTATTAAAATTTCTCTTTTTCATACTCTTGTTCCTTTACAACCATCTGCTTCACCTTCCATCTTCCCCTTAAATCTCTTACCGCAACTGATTTGTTTTTATTTCCACGATCATTCCGACTACAATTCATCTCTATTTCAACTTTTTATTTAATCATGCTGAGCCATCCTTTCCCAATGATAATTTCCTTATCTATTTTTTGATGGATACTTAAGCTATTAACAACCAAACGATTATTAAACTTTACTTGTTTCGAAAAATTTTAATACCTTTGTTTATTTAAATTCCAATTAGTTTACACATATTATTTCCGAAATTTCCTAGAAAGTGTTCCGGGTAGTTGTATCAATCGAGCGAGGTTTAGTTTTTGGACGAATCGTAATTGAAACTTGATCTCTTTTTCAACAAGCAAAATCAATGACATTTCCAATTTGTACAGAAAGTAATCACGCTCCATTTAAAGATCAAATTGACGATGAGACCGTAATGTTTGATCTGGACATGAGCGTGGATACTTTGCCTGATACACCCCTAAAGAATGATGATGGTGACTCGGACACACAAAAGACTCGGGTAATGCTTTTATAATATTTTAATAGATTGTATTCAGACGAATCAGTCCAGTAATTCTCTTTCTGCCACTCCTTCAAGACGTGAAAGCAAAATGAAGTCAGATATGTCTCGTTCTACTTCCATCTCAGGACTTACTGATAATGTTAACTTGGAGGACATTTACGAGTACGACTGGGCTGATAGTGATTCTGAATCACCTTGTGGGAAACATGAGAAGGAGTCATACATAGTTCAAGAAGTCCTTGCTGACTTTTTAAAGGTTGGTTTTATCTCTTACTGTCGCTTTTTTCGTTCTAGATTTCAAGGTATTAATACTGTCATATTTTTATTAGTAGCAAATGTTTAGTTAGGTGTCAGGAGTATGCTCGTTTACCACAGAAATAATCCTTTAGTTATTTATAATTGATGTCCTAACATCCCTAGTTCTGTCTTCCTGTTATTGGGTTCTCGTTTCTCGATGTATATTGTAGTAACTTCGGCTAAAATATGAGCCTAAAGATCTATCCAAATTTTGTTGGAATTTGGGGAAGAATAGATCAACATTATCTTGGCGCTCTTTTTAGTGCGCTGTGGAATAGCGTTGCAGTAAATTATTCATCGCCCAAAGGTCGAAAGATATCTGCAATAGGGCACAAAAATAGTGATAAGGTAGGAAGGCATACTCAGTAAGAAACAATGTTTATTAAAACACTAAATAAAATAATAATCAGCACAATGTTTCAAGAAGCATTCTGTCTGAACACTAGTCATCTTTGTATAATCTAAACCTTAAATTAAGTTCTGCGGTTTCTACCCTTTTTACACTAGAGGACATAAAAGTTATGATAAGTTTTTGTTTAAAACTAGAAATATATATATTTAAGTGAAACATTGTTTTTATGATACAGGTTAAGTTTTTGATGATGAAAACTTCATTATCTGTAAATTTCAACCGTTTTGATTGATTGTAGTATAACATTTTGTTTATGGCAATTATGTTGTTCACTAGATATTTTGAATTACTGTTTGTTTTGTAACGTTGTGTAGCTGCAGCTAATCTATATTTATTTAAGTCTCTTTATTCGTATGAATGGATGAACATTGAGTCATGGTTAACTACAGTAACCAAAGTATCTCAGCGATCGTATGATTCAGTGTTTGAACAGTTTTTCGTAGATCAAATGTTTGGATTAATCTGTGGTTTTATTATTATTATTTTTTCATCATATTACGTTTTATTATGAACATTTGTATGTATTTTATATTGAATTTTACTCCTGATTTTGTTTCTATCAAGTTTTCAAGCAGTTCTGTTGATTAACGCTTTTCCCTTTTTATTAGGTTAAATCTTTTAAACGCAAGTACCCTGATCTAGCTAGACGCGCTATGGATGCTTATGAACGATCGTGGTTGCAACAAGAGGGGATTGTTCCTGTTGGTCGTGCAGACCTTGGTCTCACGGCACTCAAAACTGATGATGTTATGAAGCTTTTGCAACAGGATTACCCAGAGATACACATTGCTCTAACAGATTTGTTTCGTCGACGAAAATTTAAAACGGCTGTCGAGAATCAAAAGCGTCAGTATGAAGTGAGTTGGAATAATAGAAATCGTTTTATTGGCCAAACAGCTTTTACTTTACAATTTCTAACTGATACACCATCCAGTTGTGATTTTTTAAAGGCAAATTTGGTTAAGGTTGTTATCAGCAGGCACTCCTAATGAATTCTGTTCACTGTATCTAGTGAAAGCACACTAAGGTATCAGCGAATTCTGTGAGATGAAGGAATCCTTAATTGATGGAATGTGTATACATGATACTTCGTTTGGTGTTATGTATCGTGGTCTATAAAATCAAATGATTCTGTCAGGCTAAATAAAATGGATTGTATTTAGATATGAATGATTACACAAATTTTCAGGAATTCCGAGGAAGTGAATGTGTTTACCACACCTTTCATCAGATTCTGTTTGATTTATTTTTCCCAGAGAGCTGTCAAATTTTGGTTATAGTTAGGCTATAAGATTTTAGGTCACACGTTTTGTGTGATTATTAGTAGTCATACCTGGTGGATAGATTAAATTGAAATCATCTACATGGTGGTTGTAGTTCGACATTTGTGACAGTGATATTATGCATATCAAATAATAAGATGAAGCCAATTTTCTACTCATTGAACCTTGTATGTTTATTAGTTTTCAGTCATTTGGAAGGCAGAAAAATGCACACATCAATCTAAGGTCACTGAGATATAAGGGTTTAAGGAATATAGTGCCCCTGGTATGAGAACTATCATCCTTTAGTTACTTAGATTCCTTGTATCATAATCTTTTCTGGAATGACTTTAAATTATAAGGTTTGGGTTTAACCTATGTTTACGGTGTTAATTATTTGCATAGGCTGCTCGTATTGAACGTGGAGAGGCTCGAGCTGAAGCAGCTCGCAGACGAGCGTTAGATTCTGCTGCCGATTACAATCATCGCTTGATTACCGAACGTATGAGTTCAAGACGTTGTTATTGGGATTTACAGACAATGCAGATTCACATTCCCCAGAGAATTTATAAGTTATTAGAATATCCAACTTTTCCCAATGGTGCATATCCTGTGGCAGTCATACCTGGACAGTTTGCAGAACATTTTATAAGCTATACTCCTGAACAGTTATCATACCTTCCATTATCACGTGTTTTATATCCGCATCCACTACGAAAACATAGAAATCCACCTCCTCTTCCCACAACACTTCGATTTGGTTCGATTAAGCCGAAAGTCAATCCACCTACTATGACCTCTTGTGATCTTGGTGATCAAAATTCATTTGGTTTAGACCATTCTAGATCTATTGACTCTTTAAACCATCAAACCACAAGCTCAATGGAAGGTCTTCGGACTAGATATACAAACGGATCATTATTATCAAGTGGCGTTACTAAGTAAGACTTTGAACCTTTACAGTATCGCTGAATACTTGCATTTTACTTTAATTTTAACGTGTATAGACTATTTTTCTATAGGACGTCCAAAGTTCTGTTTAAAATTTTCACTAAAACACTGGTCATTTGTTAAAGTAGTAAAGTGATGCAACGCATAAGAATTAAGCCTAGCGTTCAGGTCCTAATTGATTGGAGACTGAGTGACCTATAAACTAACTTCTTTTAATCTCCTATGTATTTTCTTATTTTATTTTATTTAAACATAAATATTGGTACAGGAGGGCACCAAATATATATGCGCCACACAAAACAATGAGAATTTAAAGAGAAGGGAAAAAAACGTAAGGAACGTAGGGAATATATATATAAAAACAAAAATGGGGGAAACGGAAAGGTACAGTCAGAAGAAATCTTACAGTTAAGGAAGAAGCAACCACTCTTTACGAAGAAAGTAAAAGAAGGTTACAGCAGGATCGCCATTGGCTTCTATTCTGAGCCATATCTGATAACGTCTCTAGCGACTGTGTTACACCATCTCTCGGACCCCAGCCAGGGAGTCGTGAAGGACCAACACAAGCCAGTACTTTGTAGCTTTCTTTCATACCACGACACCATGTCATACACTGACCACCTCTCCGCTTTTCCAACCAGTCCCAGAGTCGGAAAATAATTCTCTGGGACGACATTCGTAGAACATGTCCAAGCCACCGAAGTCGGTGTTTCAAGATGGTGACACCAATTGCATTATCGTCTCTGTGCCCGAACACACGATGCCGAACCTCTGCATTGCTGACATGGTGTTGCCACTAGATGTCAGCAATCCTTCGGAGACAGCGATGATTGAACACAGAGAGTCGTCTAACATCCTCAGCTCGGAGAGGCCAGTTTCACGAGCATAGAGCAGAACTGCTCTCACCGTCGCGTTGTAGATCCGACCTTTTACAGCCAGACTAACATCACGAAGGCGCCAAAGATGGCCCAGATTGGCATAAGCCGTTCTGGCTTTCACTATACGTGCATTGATCTCATCACTCACGCCACCACCAGCACTTATGCAGCTACCCAGATACACGAACTTCTCGACTACTTCTATCTGCTCACCATCCAGAGTGAGTACAGGATTAGAATCCTGCCAGTCTTTTAGAAGAACTTCGCACTTCGAAGGTGCAAAGCACATACCCTACCTGCGGACATTGATTGCCAACTGATTAAGTGCGGATTGCATAGCTTGGGCATTCTCGCACAGTAAGACAATATCATCCGCATACTCAAGGTCGAGAAGTCTCTCTCCAGGTAACAGATTCACTCCAGCATTACATCCGCCAGAGCTGTTTCCAGAATGTCATCGATGGCAACGTTGAAGAGGGATGGTGAGATTAGGCAACCTTTCCTAACCCCACTGCTCTTATGGAATAATGGAGAAAGGTGGTTGTATGCTCTCACTCTGCCTGAGGTGTTTGTGTATAGGGCCTTTAGGATGTTAATAAAGAGTTGGAGTTCCTTGCGGACTTCCGCCTCATTTGGTGGATCAGTCGTCACCGGCCATGGAGGGCAGGACAGTCTGACCGATGTTACCGGAGCAGCGGGCCAGTTGAACTGCCCTTCGAAAAATTCTGCCCATCGTCCAAGACGTCGATGGATGTTAGTGATTGGCGTTCCGTCATCCTCGCAGATTGTTTCGCTCACACCAGACTTCTTGTTGCCAGTGGCTCGGATGAGTTGGAAGAGCTTCCGGTAATTACCAGATCCAGCTCGTTAGCACGCTCCGACCACCAGGCTTCTAGGTCCTTACGGAAGCTTTGCCCAATTTCAGTATGTAACATCCTTCGTCTGTGGTCAAACTCACGTTCACCCGGAGTAGACCGATAGGCTTCAATGAGTTGTAAGGAACCAGAAGAAACCCAGTGCTTATAAGCGGGACGTTTCGCGAACCCACAACAGACTTTACCCGCCATTTTCATGGCGTCATGCAATTGCAACCAGTGCTCATCTATACTTTTCGGTGGAATGGTAGCTAGCCTAGAAGCTAGCTCGATTCGATCCTTCTAGCAACAGAAGTTGCAACCAGCTTGCTAGCATCAATCCTTTGGTGGCGGTCACTCCGTTGGCCATTGAAAAGTAAGGTAAGATTGGTGCAGACCAGGGCATGATCAGATTCCAGATAGGTACTCCAAAAGTAGCAGCAGTCTTGTACACAACCACGCCAGCGGTAGCTGATCGCGACGTGATCAGTCTGAGTCCAGGCTTGAGATGCAGAAGTGGGACGCCAGGTGGCACATCGGCGATGACTGTGTCGAAAGTTAGTGCTAGCCAGAAACAGGTTGTGGTCTGTGCATAGCTGCAGTAGACGTTCCCCGTTATCTGTCCTGCGACCAACAAGTTCCCATCGGCCACCTAAACGACTCTCTTCTGTGCCTAGACACCTGACCTGAGCACTCAAGTCTCTGGCTAGTACTACAATATCTGTCGAACGCACCTTCTGAAGAAGAACAGTTAACTGGTGGTGGAATTCATCCTTGATTACATTCGAGCTGCAATCTGTCGGGGCATAGGCGGAGATGACGAAAAGACATCGTTTCTCACGCCGATTTCTTCTCACTTTGATGGAACTTTCTAATCTAACAGCACATAACCGACTGTTTATGGGGATCCAGTCGATTAGTGCTGCCTCAGCTCTAGCGCTTAGTGCGACACCAACGCCAGCAAGGTCAGACGAAGATGCCACAGGGTCCCCGGATAAACGAACGTAGAACAAGCTTTTTGAAGTGACAGATGGAGAGCGACTTTGTAGTACTTCACCAGAGTCTTGAATACGGGTCTCGGATAGACAACAAACGTCAATATTAAGACTTTCCAAAGACATAGCTAGCCCTATCTGTTGTCCGACCTGCATAAGTGTGCGAAAGTTGAAGGCAGCCAGTTTGAATGGTGTGCGTGGTTTCAGAAAGACTGCTTCAGTACTCTTATTCGATGGTCTCATTCAGAAAGGCTGCTGTGCAAATCGGACCTTTCCCCCAAATGCCCTGGTATAGCCGAGAGTGGGGAGAGTCCGCCTCCCTCTCGAAACGCTCTCACATGGCCACGCGTATATAGTCTCTGCCAGGGAAGTCCTAATCACTGCCTTCTCGTGGCATTACTATTGTTTACGAAAATGAGAGGACGAAAAGCGAATGTCCGGCGCTTTAACCGGATCCCTAACCAATGGTGCACATGGGCTCCAGTATCCTGCGGGAACAAATGGCGTATGAACCAATCGTTGGTCACCGGCTACTATGGGACTGCATCTCCTGACGGTGCTCCACTGACTCGTGGTTCAGACCTTTATGTCGAAGGCTCGGGGTGTGTACCCCTAAGAAAACCACCTGGTTTGGTCTGGGTACTCGGGCAGTATCACAGCCCTCACACATACCAAATGAGGTCTGTGTGGCGCATATGTATTTGGTGCCTCCTTGTACCAATATCTATGTGTTGAAATAAATAAATAAATAGAACTCTAGTTAGCAAAGAGAAAAGAAGATGATAGAAGTGGAATCGTTCACTGTACTGAAGTTGGAGTTGCAAAATATTAGCTTATTATGAAATTGTACTACAGATGCGTTCGAAGAAGACACGAAAATGCTAACTGAAACATTGTTAATAAACGGTTTCCCGTTGTTGCTACCTTGACGTGGTGGTCGGGCTTGCCTATCGTGATGAAGCAACTGAGCTATACTGGCTGGAACAACCGTTCCTCAAGGTCCTACCATGCCAGACAGGTCGGTTGAAGAGCGGTAAGACTAAAAGCAACAAAACCTAGGTCCGAAGGCGAAGTCGTACTGCTGACTGTACTGAGGTGTGACAGCAATAAGGTGTTTCCTTCAGACAACCAGCATGACAGCAATGCTGCCTTCCCACAAGGAGGGGTGGGGTTAGAAAAGGTCGACCCTAAAAATGCACACCTCGCCTTATCCCACGGATATCCGTCCCCGGCGGTAAGGACTCAGCAAGTACGGAGCTAACACTAAAACTACTCATAAAAAGGTGGTGTGTGACCGACCTCAAGCAGCTGTCCCTTGGGCACTGCGGTCACGCTCTCAGGTCACTATGACCAACTCTAATCCAATTTCCTTTTCAGGTACTTCCAGAAGAACCCTTCCACGGTGTGGGCAACCGGGAAGTGATAACCGCCCTCATACCTCTAACAGCACTCAAGACCACTGTATTCATAGTCAACCTCCCTCTTCAATTCCTATTATTCCTCCTGCATCGACTTTATACACTAAACTTCCTCTTTTAGCTTCCTCCTCAAGTGTCACCACAGCCAACGATTCTAGTGCTCAAAACACTGTCCCAGGTCTACTGAAACCTCGCTCCAAACTATACATTGGAGCCTTCAACGTACGCACAGTATGTCAAACCGGCCAGCAGGCTTCCTTGGCTAAAACCTTAGAATCTCGTACGATTGATGTATGCTGTGTCTCCGAAACACGCATACAGGATCCTAGTGTGGTCATTCACTTGACCTCACCTCGGCAAAACGGAGTGCCGACGAGATACACCCTCCGTGTATCTGGCGACCCGATGGCTAGTTCTCGTGGACTGGCAGGTGTAGGCATAGCACTTAGCATGAGGGCGGAACAAGCGCTATTAGAGTGGATCCCCGTTAATAGTCGTCTATGCGCTGTTCGGCTAAACGGCTCCGTAAGAGCTCGAAAGGATAGGGACACACGTCGTTGCCTTTTCGTCGTTTCTGCTTACGCTCCCACTGACTGCAGTACGGATGAAGTTAAAGATGAATTTTACTGAAAGCTGTCTGAACTTCTTCCGAAAGCTAAACGTTCAGACATAGTACTCGTAGGAGGTGACTTTAATGCCCAGGTAGGTAGCTTAAACCAAACAGAAAGACATTTAGGTGGGTATTTTAGTATTCCGGCACAGCGAACAGATAATGGTGATCGTCTGCTGCAACTGTGCTCAGACAATCGTTTATTTTTAGCAAACACAAATTTTAAGCATAAGGAGAGACATCGTCTAACAGGGTGACCCCCTGCACCAAACTAACGATGGACTCAAATAGACCATATTGCCATCAGTCATCGTTGGAGAGGGTCAATAGAAGATTGTCGCTCATTCTGGGGTACCTGCTTGGACTCTGATCATGCCCTAGTACGAGCACGCATCTGCTTGCGCCTCACTGGACGCAAAAGAGCCACACAAAAAAGACTCATTAGAACCGACTTGAGTAATGAGAAAGCCAAAAGTAGGTTCCAGGAACAACTGAGGTCACACTTAGGTGGTTCTGAAAACGAGACTGACCCAGATGTTGCTTGGAAAGTTATACAAGCAGCTGTGGAAACAGCATTGACATCTACCAGTGATTTAAACCACAGGGTTACAAAGAACCAATGGATTTCGTCAAGGTCTATTGCGCTGATAGATTCTCGCAAACTCATCCCATCAGGTTCTGAATACGATGAAGAGCGTAAAGAAATCAGATCTAGATTAAGCAAAAGTCTAAAGAATGATCGTGAGCAGTGGTGGGCAACGAAAGCAAAAGAGATGGAAAAGGCGGCGATTATAGGGAACACAAGACAACTCTATAGACTAATAAAAGAAACTGGAATTAATAAATCAAGTGTAAGTCAGACCATTTCGGAAAGAGACGACACTCTCATCTGCTCCCAGTCCAGACGCTTAGAACGATGGGCGGAACACTTTAAGGAGCAGTTTAGCTGGCCTTCAGCTACTCTACAACTACCCTCTATTCCCAGACAGTGTGAATGGAACATTGAAGTAGGTCCCCCATCTCTAACTGAAGTTCAAAAGGCTATAGCTAATCTGAAACGAGGAAGGACAGCTGGTCCAGATGGATTGGCCCCAGAGGTCTTTAAGGATTGTGGTCTAGTTTTAGCGATTAGGTTGACTAATATTTTAGCTAAAATCTGGGAGTTAGACGTCATCCCATCTAACTGGTCACAATCACTTATCGTCCTAATATTTAAGAAAGGGTCAAAATCATCCTGTGACAACCACAGAGGGATTAGTTTGACTAATATAGTATCTAAAATACTAGCTTCGATAATTTTCGGACGCCTAACTAAGACTCGTGAACTGCAAACACGTGAAAATCAGGCAGGCTTCAGACCTGGTCGTGGCTGCTTCGACCACATATTCACCATTCGTCAGGTTCTGGAACACAGGCATACTTATCGGCGTTCGACAATGGTGGTCTTCCTTGACTTAAAAGCAGCGTTTGACTCTGTTGACAGAGAGGTTCTGTGGCAGTGTATGTCATTGAAAGTCGTACCTCAGAAGTACATAAACCTTGCGAAGGTTCTTTACTCGAACACTACTAGTCGAGTGAGAGCTTAAGGCGAACTGTCATCTGCTTTCGCAACCTCAAGTGGCGTCCGCCAAGGCTGTCCACTTTCTCCTTTTTTGTTTAACTTTATCATAGACATCCTGATGGAAATAACGCTCTCATCGACTGACTTCTCGGGTATTGATCTCCTACCAGGAGGTCCACTTATTGACTTAGAATACGCAGATGACATAGTCCTGTTTGGTGAAGACGCTGATGAAATGCCGAGTCTTTTGGTAGCACTGAGCAACAATGCTAGAATGTTCGGGATGCGCTTTTCTCCCTCTAAATGCAAGTTGTTGCTTCAGGACTGGTCTGCATCAACACCTGAACTAAGGATAGGGAGTGAAGTAGTCGAACGCGTCGACAACTTCACTTATCTTGGAAGTCTGATCAGCCCTAATGGGTTGGTGTCTGACGAAATCTCAGCACGGATTCGAAAAGCTCGTTTGGCCTTTGCCAACTTACGTCATCTATGGCGAAGGCGAGATATCCGTCTATCAATTAAGGGACGAGTATACTGCGCGGCAGTTCGTTCCGTTCTACTATACGGTTGCGAAACATGGCCTTTGAGAGTAGAAGATATTCGTAAGTTACTAGTATTTGACCACAGGTGCCTTAGAAATATTGCGGGTATCTGCTGGGATCACCGGGTAAGTAATAGTGAGGTTAGATGCAGGGTACTAGGGAATGACGGTAAATCAGTTGATGAGGTTATGAATCTTCATCGACTGAGATGGTTAGGCCACGTTCTGCGTATGCCTGAACACCGATTACCACGACGCGCAATGCTGACTAGTGTAGGGGATAATTGGAAGAAAGTTAGGGGCGGCCAAACCAAAACGTGGCATCAGTGCTTGAAGTCACTAACTTCTGGTCTGAGCCATGTTGGAAGATTCAGACTGCCTGGTTGGGGTCCGCGTGACTAGCGTAACCAATGGTTGGAGACTGTGTGTGACATGGCTCAGAATCGATCACAATGGCGTCGGTGTATACACTCTCTGTCTTCCTTAAATTAATAGATTAAAATCGCTTCATATCTGTCTAGGAACTAATTCTTTCTTCCTTTACTATCTCCTTATACACAATCTTTCTTCTATATATTACCACCACTGAATTAACTACTTCTATGAATCCGGTGTTCATCTTGTTGTGCTAATGCGGTATGGCAACTTGGACCGATGCATATACGTGCCTGGTCCTACGTTGCAGCTGACTGACTGACTGTTTCCCATTGAAATTTACAAACTAGTGTAAAAGTCAGTCAACATCAGATTGAATTCTTAATTCTGTTGCGTAGAAAGGGTCTAAATTACTTTACCATTCAGAGAAGAGTCGAGCAGCATAACTTCGAGATAGAGACTAAGAGTATCCATCGACGATATGCACTGTGCTGCTAAATTGGTTATTATTGAAAAAATAGAGTCTATGATTCCACAGAAGCCTAAACATCTCACATGGTTACGTCACGTCCCACTATATTTACTACATGTTTGTGTGGACACACGCATGGGGAGGAGTGATCGAACAAGGATTATGGAATATGTACCCAAATGGCTCCAGATTCAGTTAGTATCGAATTCTCCAACAAACGTAGGAAGTAGGAAACGGGGCCATATGATCGAGATCAACACATCTTTTAAAATGTTGCATAGGAATTTTCAAAAGTAAATTCTTGGGTTTATAAAGGGCTTACGTATTAGTGAGTTCAAACTTCCCTTATTTTTATCTTAACCGTGAATTTTTCTTGGTTATGTTTAATCCATTTTACTACCCAAGTTGGTATAACACCTTCATATTCTTTTCATATCACGTCCATCAATGCTTTTCTTCCTTTTATTTCTATTTATCACTTTATATTCGTTCGACTTTCTGTTTAACTGATCATTATTAGTTTTCATTTATAAATGCTTTGAAAAGTATATGCATGGTCAGATTGTTCGAAACGTATATCACAATCACGTCACGTTTTTCAAACCAAATATTTGTTCTTATTATTCTATCAAGATTTATTAAAGGTACTAATTGCTTTAAATTACCGAAATTCGAAAGCGAAGTAAATTAAAACGAAAAGTTTTCACTAACTTCATCATGCTGTACAGTTATAAGTCATTAATTATTGTATTACAATGTCCAAAATAAGCCATACATTAGTGAATTAAACAATTTTATGTCTTTAACGTTTAACATAGGATAGTTCACTTGTGTTTACTTTATTTTGGCCATTATAATACAATCATTCAGTCGTCATTAACGTAGAGCCTGGCACATATATATGTCAACCCAAGTTGATGTACCTCTGTGGGACAAGATTTAGAGCAAAAGAGTTCGAAATAATGTATTAGCAATGACAATGAATAAGACCAAGCATAGAGACCTGTCCCAGTTTGGGCACCCGGGAAGTATCTAGCCCTCACGCAAATCGAATGATTTATGTGGCGTATATCTAATTGGTATATCCTTGTACCAATGTTTATGCGTTTAAATAAATAAATAGATTGGAATTTGAAAAAAACTTAGTCAAAGGGTATAAACGAAGGAATACTGAAATTCAATTCAAGTGAAAAATAAAGAATGAATGTGTCTCTACCATCATGAATGTCTAACAACACAATAACTATGGACTCATAACTGTAGAATCTTATAATGAAAATAACTATTCTCCTTAATATTTTCTGTTTTTAAATATTCTATGGGGATTTTTAAATTAATAAAATTCATCTTATTTTTAATTATTTGCTTATTATTTTCTTTCTTTAGTTCAAACATGTTAGTTGGTGATAAATCATTAGTTTCTGATGTAGAAACAGATAAAACCAGTAATTCAATCTATCGACGATTTAAAACAAATACAGAAATAAATACAGAAAATCCTATATGTGTTGTATGTGGTCAATTAGCTATGAATTATATACGTTGTTCTGAGTGTAAATTAATTGGTCATCCAAAATGTTTAGATATACCTGATTCTATGCTATCAGGTGTGAAAAGGTAATACAAAATTTATTATTATTATTATTATTATTATTATTATTATTATTATTAACTTATATATATTGGTTGTTTGAATCTTCTCATTGATATTCAGGACAGCAATTGATCCGTCTTTGATTGACACGTATACATTCTGTGCGGATTGCCTCAATATTACCTTAGGCCACAAGTGTTATGAGCAGAGATAGATGGTGTCTATTTAAGATTCATCAGCTAAATGTACCTGCAATCTAGAGTTGACCTTATTTATTTGAACACATAAATATTGGTACAAAGAAACACCGAATACATATGCGCCGCACAAATCACTTGATTTGTGTGTGGGCTGTGATTCTGCCCAGGTGCCCAAACCGAATCAGGTGGTTTTCTTAGGAGAGCACGGCCGGAGCCTTCGACCTAATGGTCTGATCCACAAGGCAGTGAAGCAACATCAGGAGATGCAGTCCCATGGTAACCGGTGGCCAACGACTGGTTCATACGCCATTTTTTCCTTCAGGATCCTGAAGCCATCCCATATGCACCATTGGTTTGGAATCAGGGTTATTCAACTCCCCTAGATGTATCTTCAATACCCACCAACCCAGTTAAAGCACTGAACATTCGCTTTTCGTCCTCTCAATTTGGTAAACAACACCCGTGCTGCGAGAAGGAAGTGAGTAGGACTTCCTTGTCAGTGGTTATATTGCTGTGGCCATGTGAGAGCATTTCGAGGGAGAGAGAGAGGGGGGGGCTGACTTTCCCCACCCTCGGTCACACCGGGACTGATCGATTGCAGTCATATATATATGAATCGAAATTGTAACTTATCCCATCGCACAAATCAGTGGCTATCTGGACTTATTAGCTAAGTAGATAGCGCGATGATGTTTGAAGCAAACGGCATTGGGTTCGAGTTCTGGAGTGAATATCAATTCTAGGATGCATATACATTCAGCTGACGAGTCTCAAAGAGGATGAAATGTGCATCCTGGATTCCATTGCTAGCCACCATCCGTCTCTGCTTAAATATTATTGATTTTATTATGAGAATTGGTGGATAGTTGTTAGGACTTAAATTCAGAACTCGCGTTTCTTCCTGTTTGAGAGTCATCAACTGGATGCATCTGCATCCATTGTTCACATTGAGACTCGAACTCGATACCTTTTCTTTCAAACACCCAACGCATTATTCACCGAGTTGTATCAAGGAATCCGCTTAGGATGTGTGTATGCCAACGACGACTGATCAAAATTCAGTCCTATTTATCGATAATTGGATACTTCAAATCTTTGCTGAATTAATACAATTGTATACTTGAATTTGATTAGTTTCTCCATTCACATTGTAGTGTACTGTTTTTCTAATTGATATGTTAAAATGGTTTTTGTACAATGATAATTATGGGTTAGTCATATAATCCGATCCCTCAGGTGTGGAGTTCGAAAACCTGCGACTCATTAGTTGAAAGCCAAATTTGTTGAAACCGGGAAATAGTAGGATGACTGTTTAAAAGCAAAAATATAAGTTAATTCTTCAAAACTGTTTGAAGTAATAATGATAATAATAATAATAACAATAACAGTGGGGGAAGCAGCTAAGTTAGAAAAGATACATGTTCAAGAAGTTACATTCGTTTTTATGACTTAAAATGTTACAGCAGGATCACCACTGGCTTCTATTCTGAGCCATGTCTGATAACATCTCCAGCTAGTGTTGCATTATCTCTAGGACCCCATCCAGGGAGTCATGAAGGACCAGCAGAAGCCAGTCCTGTACAACTTTCTTTCATACCACGACACCATGTGTACTGATCACCTCTCCGCTTTCTTCAACCTATCCCAGCGTCGGAAAATAATGCGCAGTGTGGAATTCACTGGGATGACATTCGTAGGACATGTTCAGGCCACCGAATTCTGTGTTTCAAGATAGTGACATTGATTGAATTTTTGTGGTTGTTCCCGAACACACGATGCCGAATCTCTGCATTACCAACATGATGCTGTCACCAGATGTCGGTACTCCTTCGGAGACAACGATGATCAAACACAGAGTCATTTAACACCCTCAACCCGGAGAGGCCAGGTTTCACAAGCATAGAGCAAAACTGCTCCCACTAACGCGTTATAGGTCCGACCTTCTACAGCCAGACTAACATCACGAAATCACTAAAGATGGCCCAGATTGGCATAAGCCTCTCTGGCTTTCTCTATGAGTGAATTGATCTTATCAAAGTATTTCTGAATACTTGATACTTTTTACAAGTAAGATCAACAGGAAAAAATAGAGTTCCACAATTTTTTAAAAATTCCGAGTGAACATATATACATAGGAGGAATTCTCTATTTCATTTTAATTTCACAATATATAGAGTAATAATGTTGACATTCATAAATTTATATCGCTTGGTGTATTTTCTTGTTTATTTTTAGCTATGATTGGACATGTTTAGAGTGTAAACGGTGTGTGGAATGTAATGACTCAGGTCAAGAAGATCAAATGATGTTTTGCGATCGTTGTGATAGGGGTTATCATGCATTTTGTGTTGGTTTAGGACGAATTCCTAATGGAAATTGGGAATGTTTATTATGTGAATCATTGCCAACTCCGCCTAGGAAAGGACGTCCTAGGAAAAATAGACCTAAAGATTCCGATGATTTACCATGGGGTTATAGCATAAAGAAACCACGTAAATCAATATTGAAGCGGAAAATTTGTCAAACACCAGGTGTTAATGATATTAAAGACACATCTTTAGCACATAGTTCTAATCCATACGGTAGCATTCAACCAAGAGTCCCTGGTGCTGAAGTAGTACCTAAACGACGTCGAGGCCGTCCTCCGACAAAAAATCGCATTATTGTACCTCTTCCACCCCCATCTTCTCCTTATTTTTCGAATCCAACCAATTTTAGTCCTACTCGTTCAGATGTTTCTATACCCCTACCAACCTCTCCACCTACACCATTATCGATCAAAGTGTCTATGATTGGAAGTGAACCTTCAGGACTATGTCCAGTTAATGCTATTCCAACTAAAATAGAATCCTTTGTTGCGGAAAAAGTTGATATTTCCGAAAAGTTTGAACATTTAGAACCGAATAATAGTAATAGTACAGTCGACCAAACTGAAAATGACATTGTGAAACATGTTAATGAAATGAAGATTCCTTCTTCAACAATTTCTTCTGAATCAAATAATATTGAAAACTGATTAATCATTTAAACTGTTAGACATCTTTTACCCTCCAAACTTTGTATATTTATCCATTGTACTTTAAATTCCCTAGTTTCATTTTTAATAACTAGTGTTAGTTATCTTCCTTTCTATGTATTTGTAATAATGAAATTTATATTCTATATTTCAAATATAGTTAAATTTTTAAAATATATTTATTGTTATAAGTCAATTATTTTGTTTGTTTATGAGTTGTTTATTTATTTATTTTTCTAAACACATAAATATTGGTACAAAGGAGCACCACACAAGTCACTTGATTTGTGTGCGGGCTGTGATACTGCTCAGGTGCCCAAACCGAATCAGGTGGTTTTCTTAGGAGAGCACGGCCGGAGCCTTCGACCTAATGGTCTGATCCACAAGGCAGTGAAGCAACATCAGGAGATGCAGTCCCATGGTAACCGGTGGCCAACGACTGGTTCATACGCCATTTTTTCCTTCAGGATCCTGAAGCCATCCCATATGCACCATTGGTTTGGAATCAGGGTTATTCAACTCCCCTAGATGTATCTTCAATACCCACCAACCCAGTTAAAGCACTGAACATTCGCTTTTCGTCCTCTCAATTTGGTAAACAACACCCGTGCTGCGAGAAGGAAGTGAGTAGGACTTCCTTGTCAGTGGTTATATTGGTGTGGCCATGTGAGAGCATTTCGAGAAAGAAGGAGAACTGACTTCCCCCACTCTCGGCCGTACCACAGCATTTGGGGGCTTATAGTTATCAGTATGAGTGATTTGTGGAGATTGTAGTATTTTCACAATTGAAATCACGAGTCTATCTAAGTTAAACCAATATTTGTTTTCAATAGTGGATAAAGCTGCCATCCAATGCTTCTATGTTTTCAATGGTTATCTAGCTTAGATTGATTTGTGATTTCAACTGTGAAAAGATTTATTATTGCCAGTTAAATAATAAAAAAACATTAAATTCAACGGAAGGATCCCTTTTCAACGAATTTGTTATGAAGCTGTACAATCATATATTAATATGTATTAATTCTGTAAAGACATAAACAAAGAATGAACATGATGATTTTATAAATAGGTTATGACACTTGTTTATATACTGTAAATAATGATAAAATGTTGTATAACTTCTACAAGGCATGCGCAATTAATACGAGTGTAAAATGAATTAGCCAATATTGAATTGTAGTGTGAATAAAGCGAAATAATTAAAATGCTTCCATAGGTATGTTATAACTTGTGGCCTGTGTGCCCTGTTAATGTATAACGTGATGATACAGCCAATTAGAGAGTAGTGAATTATCGACCGGACCAATGACGCCTAAAACCCGTGCGAGCAGTCTAGAGTACTTATCGGTTCTGCGCCCTGCCTAGCCCAACCAGTTAAATCCAGAGCACAAATCTCAGTATCTGCGAAATGAATCATTTATTTCAAACATATTGGGTTTATATACCAAACCAGACAGACCACATCACATCATAAAATCGGAAACAACATTTGTACAAGATTTAGCCAAATGTGGCTGTGAATGTGCGAGGTATTAATTAATAGACAGGGCATAATTCAAGAATGGTACATCGTATAATAATAGTTCATAGGTCAAAACAAATAAGAGGAAGACGAATATGAACAGTTTAGTTATTTAACAATTATACAATAAAAATATACGTATAGTAATGGTCCATAAATGGATTCCAAAAGTTGCCATTCATTATTGTCATCGGGATATAACAAGGTAATAGAGAGGGATTAAGTGAAATGAAGTAATGTGAGAAACAATTATAAGTAAAATCATGGGGATATTAGAGATAATTGAAGAGTTAGGACATCTTTTTCCACTTACAAAATCAATGAAATGAAAATAATGTTAGTTTAAGGCTATAGTAAAGACAAGAATAAGGACATACTTCTTTCTCACATAAAGTCCCGGCTTTGTTTCGTAGATAGCAGAAACTTTTGTTATTCGAAGAAGTTAAATACAAAGAAATCTTGGTCTATGTGGACCAATCTTACAAGCTACTTTAAAATCGATATATGGGTTAGTTGAGTGATTAGAGTCGACTAAATGTTCAGGGATAGAACTAACTAGTTTCCTCTCACTGTTGTCGAACTATACTGGGATATGTTCTCGTATGCGTGTTGAAAGAATGCTTTGGCTACGATCTATGTACCTTACTTCACAGGAACAGGTAAACTAGCAGATACACATAAAGGCGATCAGATGAGTGAGCTTTATCCTTTACGGATACGAAAAACAGGTTTTTGGTTGTAAATGTTAATTAAAGTTTAGCTGCATAGGACATTGTTTTAATTGCTAAAGGTCACCGATCCTTAGGTTGATTATAAGTTGTTTCACTTTTAAATATTAGATTCATATAAAAATATTTACTTGGAACAGAATTTTAGGAATCCTTGTTTCAACTTTATTTTATGTTCTTTTTTAAGAAATAGCTTGGATAGTCGTTTCCAGTTAACTTTTTTGAGAAAATCAAATTCTTTCTCAACACCACAGATCTTACGTATTCCGTAACATGAATAGTGGACAATATTTCTCTTTCTACTTAAAATAACCTAGCTATGGAATTTGGCTGTTATTCACACCATATAATATTTTATTTATTTATTTATTTGAACACATAAATATTGGTACAAGGGGCACCAAATATATATGCGCCACACAAAACAATGAGGAATTTAAAGAGAAGGGAAAAAAAACAATAACGACCGGATTAGTGTAAGGTAGTGTAATGGTAGTAATAATGGGGGAAACGAAAAGGTACAATCAGAAGAAATCTTACAGTTAAGGAAGAAGCAACCACTCTTTACGAAGAAAGTAAAAGAAGGTTACAGCAGGATCACCATTGGCTTCTATTCTGAGCCATATCTGATAACGTCTCTAGCGACTGTGTTACACCATCTCTCGGACCCCAACCAGGGAGTCGTGAAGGACCAACACAAGCCAGTACTTTGTAGCTTTCTTTCATACCACGACACCATGTCATACACTGACCACCTCTCCGCTTTTCCAACCAGTCCCAGAGTCGGAAAATAATTCTCTGGGACGACATTCGTAGGACATGTCCAAGCCACCGAAGTCGGTGTTTCAAGATGGTGACACCAATTGCATTATCGTCTCTGTGCCCGAACACACGATGCCGAACCTCTGCATTGCTGACATGGTGTTGCCACTAGATGTCAGCAATCCTTCGGAGACAGCGATGATTGAACACAGAGAGTCGTCTAACATCCTCAGCTCGGAGAGGCCAGTTTCACGAGCATAGAGCAGAACTGCTCTCACCGTCGCGTTGTAGATCCGACCTTTTACAGCCAGACTAACATCACGAAGGCGCCAAAGATGGCCCAGATTGGCATAAGCCGTTCTGGCTTTCACTATACGTGCATTGATCTCATCACTCACGCCACCACCAGCACTTATGCAGCTACCCAGATACACGAACTTCTCGACTACTTCTATCTGCTCACCATCCAGAGTGAGTACAGGATTAGAATCCTGCCAGTCTTTTAGAAGAACTTCGCACTTCGAAGGTGCAAAGCACATACCCTACCTGCGGACATTGATTGCCAACTGATTAAGTGCGGATTGCATAGCTTGGGCATTCTCGCACAGTAAGACAATATCATCCGCATACTCAAGGTCGAGAAGTCTCTCTCCAGGTAACAGATCCACTCCAGCATTACTTACATCCGCCAGAGCTGTTTCCAGAATGTCATCGATGGCAAAGTTGAAGAGGGATGGTGAGATTAGGCAACCTTTCCTAACCCCACTGCTCGAATGGAACAATGGAGAAAGGTGGTTGTATGCCCTCACTCTGCCTGAGCTGTTTGTGTATAGGGCCTTGAGGATGTTAATAAACTTCTCAGACACACCCTTCTTCAATAGACAATCCCAGAGAACAGTTCTGTCCAACGAATCGAAGGCAGCCCTGATATCAAGAAACACTACGATTGTTGGCCTTTGATAAGTATGGCGGTATTCTAACACTTGGCGGAGGGTGAAGATATGATCAATACATCCTCGACCAGAACGAAACTCAGCCTGCTCCTCGCGAGTCAATCCTTCTCGGGTTTTGAACAACTTACGAAGTAGGACGGAAGCCAATAGCTTGGACGCAATCGGAAGTAGACTTATCCCCCGATATTTGTTACAGGAACGACGTGAACCCTTTTTAAAGATAGGGACAACTATCGACTCATTCCATGACGTTGGTACACTCTCTAGTTCCCAGACCTTTGTAAAAAACGTCGTCCGTCCCTTAGTCAGAAAGTCACCACCATCTTTAAAAAGAGCCGGAGGTAAGTCATCTGGGCCTGGTGATTTGTAGCGTTTCAAGAGTTGGAGTTCCTTGCGGACTTCCGCCTCATTTGGTGGATCAGTCGTCACCGGCCATGGAGGGCAGGACAGTCTGACCGATGTTACCGGAGCAGCGGGCCAGTTGAACTGCCCTTCGAAAAATTCTGCCCATCGTCCAAGACGTCGATGGATGTTAGTGATTGGCGTTCCGTCATCCTCGCAGATTGTTTCGCTCACACCAGACTTCTTGTTGCCAGTGGCTCGGATGAGTTGGAAGAGCTTCCGGTAATTACCAGATCCAGCTCGTTAGCACGCTCCGACCACCAGGCTTCTAGGTCCTTACGGAAGCTTTGCCCAATTTCAGTATGTAACATCCTTCGTCTGTGGTCAAACTCACGTTCACCCAGAGTAGACCGATAGGCTTCAATGAGTTGTAAGGAACCAGAAGAAACCCAGTGCTTATAAGCGGGACGTTTCGCGAACCCACAACAGACTTTACCCGCCATTTTCATGGCGTCATGCAATTGCAACCAGTGCTCATCTATACTTTTCGGTGGAATGGTAGCTAGCCTAGAAGCTAGCTCGATTCGATCCTTCTAGCAACAGAAGTTGCAACCAGCTTGCTAGCATCAATCCTTTGGTGGCGGTCACTCCGTTGGCCATTGAAAAGTAAGGTAAGATTGGTGCAGACCAGGGCATGATCAGATTCCAGATAGGTACTCCAAAAGTAGCAGCAGTCTTGTACACAACCACGCCAGCGGTAGCTGATCGCGACGTGATCAGTCTGAGTCCAGGCTTGAGATGCAGAAGTGGGACGCCAGGTGGCACATCGGCGATGACTGTGTCGAAAGTTAGTGCTAGCCAGAAACAGGTTGTGGTCTGTGCATAGCTGCAGTAGACGTTCCCCGTTATCTGTCCTGCGACCAACAAGTTCCCATCGGCCACCTAAACGACTCTCTTCTGTGCCTAGACACCTGACCTGAGCACTCAAGTCTCTGGCTAGTACTACAATATCTGTCGAACGCACCTTCTGAAGAAGAACAGTTAACTGGTGGTGGAATTCATCCTTGATTACATTCGAGCTGCAATCTGTCGGGGCATAGGCGGAGATGACGAAAAGACATCGTTTCTCACGCCGATTTCTTCTCACTTTGATGGAACTTTCTAATCTAACAGCACATAACCGACTGTTAATGGGGATCCAGTCGATTAGTGCTGCCTCAGCTCTAGCGCTTAGTGCGACACCAACGCCAGCAAGGTCAGACGAAGATGCCACAGGGTCCCCGGATAAACGAACGTAGAACAAGCTTTTTGAAGTGACAGATGGAGAGCGACTTTGTAGTACTTCACCAGAGTCTTGAATACGGGTCTCGGATAGACAACAAACGTCAATATTAAGACTTTCCAAAGACATAGCTAGCCCTATCTGTTGTCCGACCTGCATAAGTGTGCGAAAGTTGAAGGCAGCCAGTTTGAATGGTGTGCGTGATTTCAGAAAGACTGCTTCAGTACTCTTATTCGATGGTAACATACAATTTTCAACCAGGCAGTGACTCGAGAACGTTTAGATAGAGCCGAATGTGCACCATAGGCGAGCTGCTGTATATGTCGAAAAATAAGGGTAGACAGAGTGGGAATGAGAGTGAGTAAATGACGTGGTAAATAATAATAATAATAATAATAATAATAATAATAATAATAACAATAACAACAATAATGTCAATTGTTTGACAGTAAATCGCAGCGAGAATAGTTTTCAGTGAATATCATAATTTTCATTATCATTATATTTGTGTGTAGGCTGAGATACTGCCCGGGTGCCCAGACCGAACCAGGTGATTTTCTTAGGGGTACACACCCCGAGCCTTCGACCTAAAGGTCTAACCCACAAGGCAGTGGAGCATCGTGAGGAGATGCAGTCCCATGGAAGCCGGTGACCAAGAAATTGGTTCATACGCCATTTGTTCCCGCAGGATACTGGAGCCCATGTGCAACATTGATTTTGGATTCGGTTATTGCGCCGGACATTCGCTTTTCGTCCTCTCATTTTCGTAAACAATAGTAATGCCACGAGAAGGCAGTGATTAGGACTTCCGTGGCAGAGACTATATACGCGTGGCCGTGTGAGAGCATTTGGAGAGGGTGAGCGGACTCTCCTCACTCTCGGCCGTACCATGGCATTTGGGGGCAATGTAGTGTTGTAATATTTCTGTTACATGATAATGTTTACTTATAGTTAATATTTCCTCACAGAATTAGTACTTTAAATTTCACATACACATATATCTACTATTGTACATTTTGATAATCAGTTTGTTAGAAAGAGATCTCTTTGTTGAATGTTATGTTTTTAATTGTTAGTTAAGTTTATTATAGCTTATGAAAAGATACACTGTCTTGATCATATTTATTTGGAAAGATTTCTGTTTATTAACCCGATAAAGTTATGTGCAACAGTTCACTCTGTATTATTTTTGTTTATATTTCATGAGATATAAAGATAGAAAACCTGTACAGACTGGTTGTAATTGTCTTTGTAACATCACTAAATAAGTAATACTATGGTTATATGTAGTTTCATGCAGAAATTATGATTCAAATGGTTATATTGTGAAATTTATTGACTGTTATTTTTTTGGTTGGAACGCATGCTATGCCTGCTTAGTTAACGTTTACTTTAACTTCCTATATTGATTAACTCGTAAGTAAATTAAGACGAATCTAGCGATGATCAAATCAAGAAATAACATTATTAGGATCGCGTTGAACAGCGTTAAGATTATTTATAGTTATTATCCTTACTAAATATAGCTCTGTAAGTATCGCTTATATTTAATCCTTCCTACTGATCAGATTTAATTGATAAACCATTTTCTTATTGCTTTTATAAAGTCATGTAAGTGGTCAGATCATTGACGTGAAGTTTTGATATTGTTACTGTCACTGTTCATTAATCATTTGGTACATCTAATAACTTTAGGTCCGTTTTTATGTTGTCAGCTATATTATTTTCAGTTCGAAAAATGGTAGTCATTAGTCCATAAAGTCAATTACTACTGCTATGAGATAGGATATACAACTCCTATTTCAACTCCCAATACAAATACTGTAATCTATGGTTAGAGACCTGGTGTTGTTACTCAGAATGGATTACAATAATGTAGTTGGATACATTCTTAACGATCCTCTAATTTAAAGTTTTAATATTGAACTACATTTTTACGCCTGACACGCATTTATTCCCGTTGAACTGTATTTCGCTTTGTTGAGTTTTTATTTACCATTAATTTAACTCCTTTTCTGTTTGTTTACTTCCTTTCGTCGTTTCAATATAATTTATTGAGTATTACTTGTTCAAGTTTGAATAACATCTGAAGTCGGTTAAAGACAGAGAACTATTGTAGTGGACGCCATTCACAAGGATGTTTGTAAGTAGTATTTTGTGAACCGTGGCGTCGAAGTTGTAACAGTTTTCGGAAAGAGAGTTATAACAGCTCACGTGCTATTGTGTTTGTTCACATTTGATTCGGTTAAGTCACTTTATTAACCTATTAACGAACTGAGTCATCCGTTTAACAACTTATCTATATCATTGTATATTTATTATTGTCGCGAATGCATGAACATGTATGCTCGGCAAGCCTTACCGCCTATGCATTTATTCACGCTACTAGCCTTACTATTAACCACTTAACTGATTCTATGAATCATTCATTTCACTATGTATATATATGTCCATGTTATTCATATTCATTACCCGCTCGCTCTCTCTCTCGCCCGCCCGCTTGCCTGCCTGCCAGCCTATCGGCACAACTATTTCATGCTTGCGTAACGCATCTGCAATTTTGGATCTGTGTGTGGTCCCATAATAAATGTAATTAACACTTCGTATTCGCCTTCTGATTAATATACCGTTGGAGCGTTATTTAGTGACGGTTACCGAGACGAACTGTATATATATATCGAACACCGACCACCACAGAGTGAAGAATTTCAGTGCATTGAAAGCACACATATAACAGAACACTTGGAGGCCAGTTAAGAAGACAATTTAGAATGTAAGACACACACAGAAAGATGCAAACGGAAGATTGAAGGCTATGTGTATGTATTATGTAAACACTTAGTAACTTCTCGCAATAAATATACATTCTTCCTGTTTATTGTCGTGTTTTATACAGTCTTAGTTTTCTTGCATGAAAAAGGGTATTAACATTGATCTAAATGTATTTTATAATTTTAATTAAACATTAAGAACAGATACAGCATTACTATATGGATATATATAATGATCATCCTTAATTTTAGAGTTACATTCACTTGGTTTCAATTCAATGATTGTTCCAATTGATTGTGAAAGTATTGATTTATCAAAATCAAATGCAAGTATACAATGTACTCCATATAAAAATTCAATAGCTTTACATTGTAGATGAATAGCACAAGCGAAACGGCAATTTTCTATATCATATGCAAGATTATTGAGTCTAAAATGTATGTATTAATAAAATTTTATGTAATACAATAGATTGTTAGCATAACTAGAAAAATATATTAGTATAAGGGGATTTTGTTGAAATTGTTAATTTTTATAGTTTATTCCACTAACTGGTTTTATTTAGATTGATGTTAAATAACCAGTAATTATTGGATAACTGTTTCATCTTTGTATGGTACTTTTTAACAATGGTCATCCAATGGGGATGGAGTCTATGACCTTTAGGTCATATGGTGAGAACTTGATATTTTAAACAGTCGAGTTGCCATCCTGTGATTTGCATCTCTAACTTCAATCAATTTGTAAAACAGCTGTCCAGTGCCCTACGGATTTTAATGATTGTTTAACTAAGGTTGCTTCGTGATGTAAACCCCTTTTCATTATATACATATATACTAGGCTTTCAGTCATAGTTTTAGTGAGAGAAGGCTGATGTTACTCAGCGTCTGTTAAAATATAATTATATGTGATGAGTTTCAAAGCTTCTACTAAGTGGTTAATGGTCGAGTACTTTTACATGTAGTCTTCTACTTCTGAGTTTTGTCGTCATAGAGAACCTAGTTAATGGCATAATAATACTTCACATAACAAGTCGATAGTCATAAGTTGTTGAACTGTTGATACCTTTTGGTATTAATAGTTTAAACTTTGTAAATGTATTCGATAATTTATCCCAGATCACCGAGGACGCCAATAATGCAAGTTAACGAATGATCGAATATCTGTTAACATACGTTACGTTATTTCATTATAAACCACTAAAGAGTGGAGACCAGAGTTTTCTGTAATATTAACTTATTTTAGCTATACTGATCGAAATATTACTATTCACGCTACAGACTTTCAATGTCTTCATCCCTATTCCTTGTAGGTTCACAGTTTTAGATATAGGATTAATTTCTAGAGAGAATTGATCTTATTTACTGTGTTTGAGTAAATAGTCTAATAAGGACTTCAAAAGACTAACAAAGGTAAATGTTATCTTATATTTACCATTGTAGTGGCTTTGCCTCGTTAATCGATCATCTTGATAACCGCTATCATATAAATTCAATGATGTTTGAAATCAGAAGACAATAAGAAGTGGCCACTACAATTTATTAGTGGATGGCACAGAGCACAAAGCTGTAAGCGCATCGAGCGGATTTGGAGCAGAGGCGAATATATATGTGCGAGCGAGCAAATACAGATGCGAGTTTATCGTGAAATCGAATGACACAGCAAGGCAAAGGCTAGTAATAGGGTTCGAGTACATATATATGTGTAAGAGAATGATTCATCGAGCGATATTCAAACTAGAGTGAGATATATGTATAGGCTGTCATATGACCAAGCCTACACGTTTATTCATACAAGGTATGATCATAATAGTAGAAAGAATTATGCTACTGTTCGAATAACATTGTCTGTTAGGTTAACGAAATGGATTAAGAAAATCTAACCATAATCGAAATTGATTGTAGGAGAGCTGCTATATAATCTGTGCAACTACTGACCTTATCAATGGTAAAATTAACAATAAATCCTTCCAAAAGCTCTCAGTACTACAACAGTCTATACGATCTCTCATCGACCAAGGTAGTTAGGTAATGTGTTACTCAGATTGTCTTCGTCTACTCTAACATTTAAAAATAGCTTAATTAGGATTGGATGGTAAAAAGCCTATAGGTGGTCAGATCAATACATGACACTAGTTCGTGAAGTTATTGGCTGTTAATATTAATTATAAAATCTCACTGCTCTGACTAAATTAATAACAACGCGGAACTATGATCATAATTGCGCTATGTTTCGTGTTTTTCTATATAATTGACTAGATGTTACATAGTATTTAATTCACTTAAATAAAATCACTTGTTATATGCTAATTTTAGTTCTTAATATAAAGTAACTTATTATATTTAATCGTGTCTGTTATGAGGCTGTTACTCACTGAAGACAATAGTGGACGGTAGCGCAATAATCGTGGATTGGTTGAAGTTAGACATTAACACCGTTGGATGCCGGCTCAGTGGTCAAAGGTTAAGCGTTTGCGTGTGAGACCGAAGGTTTTAAGTTCGAGTAGTGCTTGCGAGATCGTGGATGTGCACTACCGAGGAGTACCATATTAGGACGAAATGGCCGTCAAGTGCTTGCAAGTTTTCAACGGTGGTCTAATATTAATAGATTCACGATATAAATCCGAACTCTATAGTCTCCACAACCCTATACTGAGAATATTATATTTATATAAATAATCAACTAAATATTAGTTATCAAAAGAGGTTTTGTGGAGATTTTAGTAATTTCAATAGTTGAAATCATGAGTCATTTGAACCTAGACCATCATGGAAAATCTGGAAGCACTGGACGGCCGTTTCATCCTAGTATGGGACTCCTCAGTAGTGCACGGAATTGTGGATGCGCACTGGTAGTCTAGCTTCAATTGACTCATGATTTCAACTATTTAAATATTAATTCTTATTTTAACACTAATTAATCTACACTTACCGTCCATAATCACTTCTTGTATGCTCTGAATAAAATGTATGATAAGTACACAAGGGATAATAATCATCTGTTTCAAATGAACATTTACGTCCTAGTTCACTATATGAATCATAAATATGTTTTAATCGTATTGATAAATTCTCCATATTCCAATGATGTAATACATACCAATTATCACAAGCACCAATATCATATTCTCTCATACCTTTAGTTAAAATTTGTGAATTAGTTAAATCTTTTGCACATAAATCAATTTCCATAGTATTATTGATTGTACAAAAGTAATCTGATTTAAATCTATTAGATGAATATTTCATGTTTTTTGGTTTTTGTTGACTGTAAAGAAACAAAAATAATAATACCATATTGTTGTGAGTTTACTTTTTATATTTTATATTTAGTAGATATTGAACAATTGTTAATATTTAAATTTCCAATATATATTAACAGATGGTGGATAGCAATCGAATCCAGGATACGCATTTCCTCCTGTTTGAAACTCTTCAGCTGAATGTATATGTATCCCAGAACTGATGTTCACTCTAGGACTCGAACCCAATGCCGTTCGCTTCAAACATAATCGCGTTATTCACTTAGATAATGATTCCAGATAGTCACTGACTTGTGCAATGGGGTGAGTTGTAGTTCTAGTTTATATATATATTGGTTGTTTGAATCTTTCCATTGATATTTAGGCCTAGAATTGATCAGTCTCTTTTGGTATATGCGCGTTCTGTTCGGATCGCCTTAAGTCACAAGTATTATAAGCAGTGATAGATGATGGCTATCAGTCTTCGTGTGAGGACTAACTCTGAGTTGCAAGTACACCCAGTTGATGAGTCCTGAATAAGACTGGGTTCCGCTTCTATCCATCATCTATTTCTGCTCATAATACTCGTGGCTTATGACAATATGGCGGTAATCCACGCAGGATGCACACACGCCAATAAGAGATTGATCAATTACTGTCCTAGATATCAATGGGAAAATTTAAACGATGCACACGAAAACTGATTAAAATAACAAGTATTTGGTGTTTTTGTGTTAATATCATCGTAGAATCATTTAAAAATAACTAAATGGTTGCCACTTATTAGCTTCACAAGTTTTGTATTTACGGTGTAGTTATCTTTCAGTGTCATCAATGTTTATCGTTTATGATTAGAAATTTGGTTAGCTAACTCTTGAAATCAAGACTCTAATCTGTTATGCCTACCGATGAATTTAGTGAGATCTGCTGAATGTTAAAGTTTTGGCAGTGATTTTATTATAAGCTTGAAGTGTTGATCGACAACCCCACAGAAAAATTGACTGAAGCCACAAATGTAGGGAATTGTATGGTCAATAGGAGATCAATAGGTAAGGTGCTTGTAGTGAGACTCGATGTTCGTTGGTTCGTTCTCCGGCGGGGTCATGGGCGTGCATTGCTGAAGAGTCTCAAACTTATTTCTGTTAGTTGTCTAGATAGTACCAATTCGTAAAGGAAATTATGTTGATAAAATTATTGTTCACTACGATAGATTAAATCATTTAATTATAAAATAATAATGTCTTATACATCAGTAACTAACTCATGAATGCAAACTTACAGTTTGAAACAATCAGGGTAGTAAATACCTTCAAATATTGTGGGTATTTGACATTCCATTTCTGTATTTCTTGTTAGTCGAATATGTCGAGTGTGTTTGACTATTGTCTGAAATCCGATAGGGGAAACGACGAAATAATTGTACTTTGAAAACCATAGAAGTTTTCCTTTTCCTAGAATTGTATCTAAAGTTATAGTATATTGGTATAATCGTTAATAGTGAAATTCAAGGCATGCGTTGAATTCTATTTCGAGGATTCTAGTGTTGAAGTTCACACTGAGACTGGGAACGAGTACCTTTCACTTCGTAAATCAACGCATTGTCCACTAATCTACTGACCCTAATGTCTGCTAACTTGTTTAACGGGTATAAGCGCATTACTTGACATGACTTGATTAATAGCTAGCTTTCAAATCTAAGAGATGCATCTTACTTCATTTGGGATAGGTCAATTGTGTGTACATGCTTCCCAATAATAATGTTCATGCTGAGGCCCATACGTAGCAATCAATACTCCAAACATCATATATTTATCCATTGATCCAAGTGATTCATTATAGTTATTAATTTGCTGAATTTGTTTGATAGTGAATTATAATTACAAGAATGTATTTTATCAAGTTGTTGCTTCTCAGGACTGGATTAAGTCAGTACCTCATGATGTGTAAACGTTTTTCAATATATACTTCGAAATTGCATAAATTTACATTTTTTAACTAACAGTGGAATCTCATTAAGCTCAAATAAATGAATTACTAATAAAACAAGACACTTGTTGTAAGTTTCACTACTTGAAACTATCCAAATCTAGTCAACTGGTAAATGCAACTGATTTCAAAGAAGTCGTTTGGAGGACTCATAAACCAGTTCATTGATAATTGTAAAATGAAAATCCCAGTTTCGTCTTGTGTGCTACTGATGGCAATAGATATAAGTAGTATATATCATTAACCGAAAGTGAAATGTCTGGCATCAGAAGGTTAAGAAAATCGAAGAAAAGAGAAATAGAACAGAGAATGACTTATATCTAAACAAAATAACAATGATGTCTGAGACGATTGACTGACATTTTACAAATGAAGTATTTACTATATGGTTCTTAGATTTTACTAAGATATTTCTGTAATTTTCTGTTAAAATACATTCGATTGTCCCCACTCATGTTCTCGTTCACTACAGTTGTTATTCAATTAATCAGGCTTTTTTTTTAGATCAAAATTCTCATTAACACCAGAAAAAACCTCAATGATTTAAACAATTCAAGTAACTTCACTTCAATACTATTTCTCAACATACTTACTACCAATAGAGTATAGACCACCGACCAACATTATCCAACCCACTCTGTCCTGAACCTTCCTTTCTAGTTCTATTCAATTGTTGTTCATTCTTCTCATGTCTGTCCCCATTTCTCAGCGTAATATATTCTTTGGTCTTCCTCTTCTCCTTTGACCTTGAGCATTTCAAGTGATGAGATGAGGGTTTGCCTTGTGACATAGTTCGTTGCTTTCCTCAATATGTGCCCTATCCATTCCTAGCACTTCTTCCTCCACTGGAATCTGGTTTGTTCTCTCCCAAAGTAAGTTGTTACATTGATTTCAATTATTTTATCATTGAAGAACTTCAATTCATAGTTAATTTAAACAAATAAACTACTCAAATATCATTATATACTTATAATTATAAAATATAAATCAATAAAATATTCAAAAAAAAACAAATACTTACATTATTTATTCGATAATCATTTTGTGGTTTATATGTTTTACATTCTGTTAATTTTGTCCATTTTAATGGTTTAGGACAATTACATTCACGGACACGTTGTCTTGTACATGTAATTAATTCACATTTATTCCATTCTGACCATTCACACCAATTACCTAATTCTATTGTTTGTTCACAATTATCTATTTTATAATATATTTTATCTTTTAATTGAAATTGACATATAATGAAATTCATTATTAGATAATAATTTATAAGATAAATAATAGACCATTTTAATGATAACATTATTAATGTATTAAGATTTTAATTAGAACACATAGATAGATGTTATATATCATAGAATCTAACTTGTTTAAATCTTTAAAATAAAAAAAAATCAATAAAATCAATAGATCGATAATTAATCAATATCAATTTCTAAGTTTCAAGATATCTGATACAATTTAATCATTAAATTAATATTTCAATAGTTAAAATCATGAGTTAGTTGAAGCTAGACTACCATGGAAAACCTGGGAGCATTGGACGGTCGTTTCGTCCTAGTATGTGACTCAGTAGTGAGCATCCACGATCTCGCTCCTCCCACACGCGAGATTCGAATCCAGGACCTATCAGTCTCGTGCACGAGTGCTTGACCTTTAGATCACTGAGCTGGTCTGCATCCAACAGTATTAATGTCTAACTTCAATAGATCCGTGAAATTGTGTCACCGTACATCATTGTCTTCAGTGAGCTGATATCTCAATTAATATTTATTAAAAGGTTATATTTTTAAGCTTAGTTAATCAACAAGAACTAATCAATATCGATGTGTACAGGACAAGTTATAAAACTATATGTGAAGAAATTTGAACACTTCGCTTCTACTTAAAGTTTATGCTGATGATATCGTTCAGAAGAACAATGAAAGTTTTATGACTAAACCATTTAGCTCAGAGAATAAAACTCTATAAAAATCATTAATAAAAACAATTGGTTGTTTTGTCATATATAAATTTGAGATAAATAAATAGTCTCTTGTCACAATATACAACGATGATTTAGTTACTGAGAGTAGAGTGATTTTTTATGAATGTATGAATCATTTTACAATAAACATGGATTGTTTATATAAATGGAATTCAGAGTACAATATAGCAAACAGAATTATTGCTTCTTTAAATAATATGCTAACATAATACCTATGAATAAGTTTTGAAATCGAACTTATATAAATCATTCTATAACTAACAAATTTTTATGTTTTTCTAAATGAGTAAACGTATTTAATACTGGTCTATTTTCATGTGACTTTTTTACACCTACGTCCTTCTTAGGGACTTTAGGTACATTCATGATTGGTCATTTCTGTTAAGTTTCAAACTATAGTAAAGCAGTTATTTAATGGAAGTGAATAGGACACATATTGAGGAAAGTAACGAACTATGTCACAAGGCAAACCCTCATCACTTGAAATGATCAAGGTCAAAGGAGAAGAGGAAGACCAAAGAATCACAATTCGTTGGTCACTGGGTGGTGACCAATGTCATGCGTGTCTAGTCCTTATTATTAGTGCAGATCGAATGCTGTTGACCGTGTTGCAATGTGGACATCAGTCTAGGTGACTCAACACTGCGGGCACTATTGTGAGATTAGATGGTGGTTGGAGGTAGTCGACAGGAAACCCTGGACCCGGGTTTCGCGCTACATATATATATACACATACATACATGCGTACATACATGCGTACATACATTCATACATACATTACGCTGAGAAATGGGGACAGACATGAGAAGAGTGAACAAAAATTGGATAGATTCAGAAAGGAAGGTTCAGGACAGAATGGGTTAGAGAATGCTGGTCGATGGCCTACTCTCCCTTGGGAGTAACAGGTGTAAGTATGTAAGTAATTCTTTGACCAAAGCTATCTCTACATTGATCTAATTTTGTTTGAATATTAAGTTTTAATATCTATGAATGGTACTTAAATCATTTTCAGTAGCTTATAATAGTTTATAAAAAAATAACCAGAAATCAATATTGAGATGAATCGACAGTTGTTTTGAAAATTTTTCTCAGTTGTTTAAAATGTTCTATCATTGTGGATCATAAACGCTTAATCGTATTTACAATCGTATCGTTACAGGCTGATATAAATTGTTCTATAATACATGTTTATTTTTATTTGATTGTATTAGTCATTGTCCATTTTCACAAAATGCTGTCGTTTATTGTTCATTATTAATTTTGAACATCTTTTAGGTGGGCTCATTTCATTTGTATTTGTTATGTTCATTCTAATCGGCTGTCTATAATTCATACATTATTCACCTTATATAAAGACTTATTCAGTTATTATTCAATGAGTAGGTTGTTAAAGCTTCTTTTGCTTACTTCTATTTAATTTTCATATTTTATGATAAAAATAGAATGATATTTGTAAGTTTTTAGAGTTTGAGTTAAAGAGAATTATCATTTTGACCATATCGTAGCTCAGGATCACTAACGCTCTCATTAAAGTCATTATGAATTTTGAGCTACATAACAGTGAGTGGAATTACTTTACAGATAATTTTAGTAGAGGGAATTTTAATTTGTTGAGAAAAAATCTGAGATGTTGAAGACTTAGTTCTAACAATATCATATTACAGTTTATGATTTATGATACCTAATCTACACTTGAGTCTTTATACATTTAATTTGGTTAGTCCCTTCAGTTGACTTATATGATAAATAGTGTCACTGGGTCAATAACAATTTATTTATATCATGTTATTATTGTTATTATCATGTTTCTATGGTTGTGTATGCTTGATCATAGGTTACAGAATACACATATTCCTTTGATTATCTTTAGTGTTAGTTGCTTAAATCGCACGATGACTTGTTCACTTGCTTATATATATGTACCTCTTAAATCCAATTCATTAATTCGTTCTCATTCACAATTTCGTTGGTATTCACTTCAGATGCTTGTGGCTTTATGAACGATTCTGTACAGTAATAAACTGTAGTCAACGATTTGTATTGTCTTCTGAAATTTCTACATCGTTGAGAGTTATTTTATGATAATTATCAGGGCTAATGATATATAGAATATAGGAACCATAAAATAGGTACATTTAATCTCTATGAGACAGAGAATTATATCAATAAAATATTGAGATGTCAACAATATTTTAAGCATTTATCAATTGAAAACTAAATAAAATTATGTGTGTGTGTGTGTGTTGAGGTACGCATATTTTTAGTTGTTTAGTGATATGCAGTCCCAAAAGTGTGTTATCGGGTACTGTTAGAAGTATGAAGGTGATTGTCAGTTCCTAGCTGCTCATACCATGAGAGGATATTTCTTCTAGTAATATTTGCGTTAGTAGTGGTTATACTGACCTTAGAGAGTGATCTTAGAGCCCATGGAGCAGATGCCCGAGACCGACTACATGGAACCTTTTTGTCAGTTTTTAACGTGTCAGCTTCCCATTTTAAAAAGCCTTACCTCTGGAGCCGAAAATCCTTAGCGTAAAATGTGGTATGATATTTTTTGTCTGACCTCTTCTAACACCACCCTTCTGTTGTAATAAAACGATGTTAGTCAAAAAGGAAACTTAACCCTTGAAACTTAAGTTGATGCTTTTAGTTTTACCGTTCTCTAAATAACCTTTCTGGTATGATATGACTTAAATAATGTGTCTCAGTCAATATAAACGGATGATATCCAACCTCGTTCACCATGTCAAGGAAGCAGCCTTACAATACGAAAGACCATCTTACAACCATGAACTAATGCATATCTTCCCTTAAATACTACCTCAATATAATTAAAACTATTATGATTTTAATCAAGCAGAAATCTAAATGAGTATTCAGAAATCGATTATATGACAAAAAAAAGGAAAAAAAACAATAACAAAATTAGAATAGGAAAACATTCAAATCAAGGAATTTTTCTGTTATTTACTTGGATAAAATGTTAATGAAATTAATTATCTAGAAAATATGATTATCACCATTCGTTTATGAAGAATATTATCTTTAGTTTTATTCTTTATAATAAAACAAAACATAATTTTACATATAATACATAGCAACAAAACAATGCAATATTATAACTTGTTGATATACATTGATCTACTAAGTTCATTGAATATTCAGTAAATTCTCAATTTTTTTGTTTGTTAGTAAAACTAAACTACCATTTAAGATCATTTCTTACGATAGTCTATCCGTGGAATATTTTCTTTCATCTTTATAATTTTGAAATATTCTGTATAAATGCTATGATGGAAAGATTTATACTAATATCACCAGGGGTTTTGTGGAGATTGTAGTAATTTCAATGATTAAGATCGTGAGTCCGTTGAAGCTAGGCCACCATGGAAAACCTGGAAGCACTGGACGGCCGTTTCGTCCTATTATGGGACTTCTCAGCAGTGCGCATCCATGACCTCGCCCCCTGCGAGATTCGAACCCAGGACCTACTGGTTTCGCGCGCGAGCACTTAATCACTAGACCACTGAGCCGGCATCCAACGGTGCTAATGAGATGAATGAAATGTTTCTAGCTAATCAGTTAGTTAGTTGTCAAATAACTTCAAATAAATATCTATTGATCAATGTTAAAATACCTTACATAGACAAAATGGAAAAGAAAATTACTTAGGAATGATAAGATGAATAAATACATGAATTGATAAAACAAGTAACTATGTTAAAAATGAAAACTTAATTTAAAAGTAGAAAAGCATGAATACCACTTAGCTACTATGATTGATATTTCAAACATCAAGAAATAAAAACTCATATTTTTATCTAACATTAGTAATAATAATAATAATAATAAAAATAAACTATTAACACAGTTTATACAATAGATTGTTACCTTGAAAGAATAATTAAGTCGTTGGGTTACTAAGAAAAAGAAAAAAATCAATTTTTTTTTGGATAATTGTTAACGTAGGATCTTAGGTACATGTTTCTTCAAGTTCAGTATTAGTTTAATTAGATGTACGTGTATTCCAATGTTTCTGTTTACATTCAATTTAAATATCAGTTCATTATTAACTAGGCTATTAATCAATGTTCATTACAGAATTTCTCAAAATATATCTGATTTATTATTATATGAGTAGTAACTTTTAAATGAATACTTTTTCAAGATATAATAATTTACAAATAAATATAAACACTCAAAACGAAACAATAATATACGAAAATAAAGAAAATTAAAGATAACACACAAAACAAATATATACATATATTTAATAGTTGAGATCATGATTTAATTGAAACTAGATCAACCTAGAA